TTTCCACTCTCACTCCCTTTATGCTTCCTCTTCAACCTCCAAGAGCCTTCAATCCACTGTTATCTCTACCATCTCCTAATCTGTGAGCTCCCACCCATCTTTACTTCTTTCCTATCAACTGTGATCTCTTGGTCCATTAACTGAGCCACCCTCTCACCTACACCCTCAACTCGTTTTCCCTTTTCCCTGAACTGTACCAGACAAGCAAAATCCTGTACCATCCCATCCACTTGTCTTCCGTTTGTGTACCTGGATGGCTCAGGACTGCCCAAAGTGGCTCACAGGTGCTCTCCAGCCTCAGTTGGGGCTTCAGCACTACCCAGCAAAACCTCTAATTCACTCACAAACTTCCAAGGTTTAAAACTCTCCTAAAGCTCCCTTAAACTGTCATTACCTTGTCTCACCTTCAAAGGACCAATCTGCCTCAGGCTTTTCAGAGAAATTAGAGGTCTAAATAAATGCTCCAAAGCTTTGCTGTACCTACTTACTTAACATATCCATTATCCTTAATTCCTTGCCTCTAGTTCTAGACAGAGTTGGTTTTACTTCAACCCTCCAGCAGTGTTCTGGTTCCATCCATGCCCCTTCTGCCTCATCAATACTACAGAAACTAAACCCTCACCCAATCCAGCCATGTGCCTTCCTTCACTGCTCTTTAACCATGGATATGTTTCTTATCCTGACCTTCCCCATCTTCAAAATGATGATATCCTTGCTAGCTTGCGGTGAGTGTAACAGGCCTAGAAGTGCCTGACGTATGGTAATCATTCAATAAATAGTAGTAATTATTATTATGTTAATACCTTAAAGGTGAAAGGCAGATGACAAAAAATGGGATACAGACTTGGAGGGTTGCAGGGGGAAAGGGGAAGGCTGCCTGCAAAGAGAAAAGGAGAAAATAATTTCCCTTGACACAAAATGTACCAGTCCTTCTGGGAATATATTCAGTTGCTTTGCAAATTATGGTAATTAAATGTATGACTGCTCTTTGCTATTCTCACCATCGTCAGGGGCCTGGAACTCCTCTTGCAGAATAATGTTCTTTAAAGGGAAGATTTGCTCTGGGTTCTAAGTCTCTGTCAGCAGAGAAAAGTAACAAATCTTCCTTCCATTAATCCAGAATTAAGGTGATATTCATTTAACAAGGAATTACAGCAATGTTTAGCCACTAAACATTGAGGGTGCTAAACAAAAGTATTCAATTAGTGATTTCCACAACTGGAACAGGAGCACTTCACGGTGAGAGCATAGGACATCTTGTGCCACAAAGCACAGAAGTGCTCAAAAACTGATTTGGGAGGCAAGAGTGATGGGAACAGGGTGGGATAGAAATGACACAGGAACTGACTTGAAAGGGCTCCCATAGGCCAAATTTGGGACAATTTGAGCACCAAAAAGAATAATGATGGTAATGGATCCTAACAGTTAATTTTTTTAAATGTCCTTATGTCCATACAGGTAATTAAAAAAATAAATAAAGCAAAAGGGAGAAAGAGGGGGAAAGGGAAAACTTTCATACAATAATGCCAGCTAATAAATGTAGAAGAAATGAAATAACTAGAAAATCACCACTTTGCAACCTCCAAAGGCAGAGAATATTCAGTGAAGAGTTAATGGCTGACAGGCTATCTGCATAGTCTTGAAGTATTACCTCACAGATTACATAATTTTTAATTACAAAAATTACAAAAGGGAAACTTACAAAGGGAAATTATAAAGGGAAAAATGTACCTGTACAATGGAGATACCTGGAGTTGCCCACTTTACAATGGAGATACAATGGAGTTGCCCACTTAATCTAGTGATCAAATTTAGCATCAGCAACAGTGAGTACAGCCTGATATTATGTGGTTGCTGTGATTCAATAAGAAGCACAAAGCATCACCCATGTAGTATAGCCAATGCTTTTATAATGAATTAACGAAGAGAAAACAATCAATGAGTCCACAGTCTTGCTACTTAAAATGTGGTCCAAAGACCAGAATCACTCCACCTGGGAGTTTGTTCAAAATACAGAATATCTCAGGGCCGGCCGAGTGGCGCGTTGGTTAAGAACTGGCTTGGGACGCCAGAGGGCCCCGGTTCGGATCCCACATATGAGGACTAGTGACACTGCCTTCTACAGCTAAGATGCTGAACAAAAGCTCAACCTGGAGCTGGGCTGCCATGAGTCACCAGCGACGGTGTAGGCTGCAGCCTCTGCTGCAGTGGGTTGCCATAAACTATCGTGTGTAGACAGCAGCCAGCGTGTGTAGCCAGCAGCCAGTGTGAGCAGCCAGCAGCCAGTGTGAGCAGCCAGCAGCCGCCGTGGGCAGCCGTCCAGAAGCCGGCGACTGATCTGCCTCTTCTGGGAAGAGTGCAATGATGGTGCCAACTTGGGCCAGTGAAGCAACGTCCTCCACAATTAGACTGAAGAACAAAAGGACAGCAACTTGTCTGTTCCCCTTCCCCAATTCCCCAGTGCAGTTCCCATCCACCAATTCCCCAATAAAAGTCTTTAAAAAAAACCCCACAGAATCTCAGACCCCACTCTGGACAACTGAATCATAATTTGCATTTTAACCACAATCTGAAGTGATTCGTAGGTGAAAAGTCTGAGATGTCCGGGATAAGACCAACCACCCAGATTTTTCAAAAAAATCTATCTCATAAAAGCAAAAAAAAGGCAGCGGAGATTGTTACGGTTTTAGAGAGACATAATGACCAAAAGCAGTGAGTGAACCTTGATTGAATCCTGGATCAAAGGAGAAAAAATTATAAAATACATTTTGGGAGGATAACTGGAAAAATTTGAATATGTACGTTTATTAAATGACATTGAATTAATGGTAAGGTTCTTAAATGTGATAATGGTATTTAATTACATAGAATTTTCTTATTCTTAGAAGATACTTGCTGAAACATTTAAGGTAACAGGTCTACAATTTACTTTTAAAAGGTTCATAAAAATACATACTCATATATAGCGAGAAAGCATATGCACCATAATAACTGGTTATACTCTAGATCAGCGGTTCTCAACCTGTGGGTCATGACCCCTTTGGGGGTCGAATGACCCTTTCACAGGGGTAGCCTAAGACCATCAGAAAACAAAAAGATATTTACATTATGATTCATAACAGTAGCAAAATTACAGTTATAGAGTAGCAACAAAAATAATTTTATGGTTCGGGGTCACCACAACATGAGGAACTGTATTAAGGGGTCGCGGCATTAGGAAGGTTGAGAACCGCTGCTCTAGATGAAGAGTATGTAAGTGTCCATTGTGCTATTTTTCATTTTTTCTTTAGGTTGAAATTTTTACTAAATAAAAAATTGGGGGGGTGGAAAGAATATTCAATTAGTCTATAACAGAAATGGTAAGTTCTTGATAACCGCATAATTCGTACAACCTCGCATCTATCTTAACACCTATTTCAGAAGCTACACGGAAGTGTTCAATAAATGTTTGCTAAGAGAACAGAAATTTACTTAATTCATATTTTAGCTGGCAGAAATTTCTAAGGCATTAAAGATCTGCTACAACCAGTTGGCTGTCAGGTATATATGGAACTACAGATTGTCACGGTTACTTTTCATTTCATGAGAGGCAGCAGGGTGTAACAACAAAGGTTTTGGAGTCAGACCTAGGTTTTATTAGCAAGATGCCCATGGGCAGATTTAATCTCCCAAAGTCTTAAACACTCTCGGTAAAATAGAAATAAAATAGTGTCATATAGGGTGGTTATAAGGGTTAAGTAAGATATAAGATAATGGGCCGGCCAAGTGGCTCAGTTGGTTAAGAGTGCGAGATCTGAGCTGCACCCAAGCTGAGCTGCTGCTGAGCTGTCAACAGGTGGCAGGATGGCTCAGTGGTTAGAGTGTGTGCTCTTAGCAACAAGGTTTCCAGTTTGACTCCCGCATGGGATGGTGGGCTACACCCATCCACAACTAAGATTGAACACGGCACCTTGAGCTGAGCAGTCACGAGCTGCTGATGGGCAGCCGGATGGCAATTGGACTTGGGAACTGAGCTAGCTGCACCCTCCACAACTAAGATTGAAAGACAACAACTTGGCTGTTCCCCTTCCCGAATTCCCCAATAAAATCTTTAAAAAATTATGTATATATATATATATAAATAAAATAATGAATGTAAATTACTTAGCATCACATAATAAATGTTAACAATAATTTTATCAATAAAGTCAGCTAAAAGATATTCCATAAAATGAAGATAATGTTTTATGGACCAGATTTTGACTTTATTCTGAGGATTAAAGGTCTTCATATGATCTAGGGGCATTTTCTGACACTTTTAAGTCAAAGTGAGAAGGCAGAACAATTTTCACTTGTTTTTATTTGGTACCTTGAAGAAAAAGCATTCCGTGTGATGATGGGCAACCTTTCCCCAAGGATGACCTTTCCCCAAGGTAAAAGCATTTTACTTCTTTAACTTAACCTTAATAAACCAGCATAAAATACTGAAGATTAGCAAAATAAAGCTATTAAAAATGACTTAGAGAATCAAATTCAATACTAAGAAAATTTGGAAATAACTTTGTTAAGTTACCTTAAATTTTCTTGACTAGAAAAGTGAGAAGCCATGTTTTCATAGGAGTTGACTGAACACCGTTTTCTGGAAGCACTTAGACAAAGAATAGGTATCTACCTTTTGGTGTAAGTGCGCATGTGCCCAGATGAAATAGAACTGACTTCAGTAGATGGATGATAGTCTGACCCAATTATTTTATGAACTTCTAAAGCAATCTCTTCTAAAGACTGGTAACTATGGCCTTTCATGAACAGTTTTACTGGAACACAGCCATGCTCATTCATTTATGTATTGTCTGTGGTTGTGTTCAGTACAGCAGCAGAGTAGAAAAGTTGCAACAGAGGCTGTATGGCTCACAAAGCTTAAAATATTTACTATCTGGCCTTTTACAAAAAAAAAAAAAAAATCAACCCCTGCTCTAGAATAGCAATCCAAGAATGCAATAAAACCTGAGGTCCAGACTCACCTGAGGTGTTGTCTTTCTGTATTGGTCACCTCCATCTATCACATCCCTCATGACTTTTCCCTTGAGAAATTCATACTCTTCTGGACTCAGGTGAATAGACTCTATGTTTTTTCCACAGCACGAACACTGACCACTGTAATTACAATGGTTTGTGTTAAATGGTATCCTGGAAAAGAACTTTTTCTACAATGAATAATCCTATGATATGAGAAAATTGAAAGGTTAAAAAAAAATACTATAACTTTTGTGATCATCACATGCATATGATTTTTTTGTAAACCTGATAGTATCACACATCAGTGTGCCAGAAAACCCAAAAGAGTAGACTGCTGGGCATCCGGATAAAGTTTTTAAAGTCATTCCTAAAAGACAACTAGGGGAAAACATCCCTGAGGCTTCATACCAGACTCACAGCACCTACAAGGAAAAACATTTTGAACACTGGAAATTCTCCATATGCAAAATATGGCTTTTTTTCTTGGGTTCTCTAACTCTTAATTATCTTATCTCTAAGGTATTCATAATCTTTTTTTAAACAGTAGCAATCAAACTTATTAAACCTGAACCAAACAAGTTAAAAATAAAATATTGGCCTTTACCTTTTCTGAATTGTGGTGAATTTTCCTTTCCATTGTTCTTCAGGAATACTACAAAAAAGATTGCAAAATCAAATCATCAGGTCAGATTCCTACAGAATCCAAAGATATTCACTGTGCTTAGAAACACGGTAGGCAAGAACTCTGAAAAGTTCAGGATCCTTCAGGAATGGTTTAATTACAAGAGTGGTTGATACACTGCAATGGGGCTAAGGAGGTGATGATACCCTACTCTGGAGCTCCTTCCTCAGTTCGCTTCTCCTCTGGTCATCTATCTTCAAGGCTAAATCTACCTGCACAACACCTGTACAGAAAGCAGCTGACATTACCAGTGTAACCTCTAAATTAAACTCAACTCTAACATTTTCCAAAAAGCTGCCAGAGGTTGTACTTGTCCAGAGTAATTTCTTCTCTTATACTACCATCTTATATCGCTATTATTTAACTGTCAAGTATTACATTCCCAATTGTGAATGCCACCATAATAGATCTTTTATCACAAGACATCCGCAGTGCCTAGCCTAACTGGAGTTATTCAAAACTACTTACTGATTTATTTGCTCAACTTAGCCTTTCTTATTTCCTCTTACATATATTACCATAATTCCTGTTGATACTTCTCTCCTTCCCCAAGTCTTAATTCAAGATCTCATCCTCTCTCATTCAAACCTATAATTGCCTCCAAACAGATCTCCGTTTTCAATTTTAATCCTTCTCCAATTTTCTTTTTTCACTGCTTTGGCAGTTACCTTTCTAAAACTCCACTCCAAGAACAACACTCTTGATAACACAATAAAATCCAAAATCCTTGGCATTCAAAGATTTTCACCATCAACAGCTCCTCTGTTGATGTTCAAAAAATTGGTTCAAGAAGAGAATTCAGCATGATTGCCACTTCAAAGTTCTGTAAAGATGATATGTAGTAGAAAAGAGAAAAACAGAGAAAAGGAATGAATTTTTAGGAAAGAGCCTGAAGCAAATTAATGGTGAAAAAATAAGAAAGTAAAAAATGGAAGCAATAAATAGACACATAGCCAGTAACATGAATAAGAGCAAAGGGAAAACAAAGGAGAGAACCTTGAAGAGAGCAGTTGGATGATGAAAAGATCTAAAATGAACTGGAAGGATGAAGATTTTCCATGTTAACACTTGCATATAAGGTTTGATGATCAGGATCCCTCCCCGACTCCGCTCTAACCATCCAAGCTGATGAAACGCATAGATCAAACAGAACACAGATATGCAATTATACCAGTCACTAGGTTTCAGAACTTCTAAAAATACTAATATGACCCAAAGACGGCTCCAGTGTTCTCGCTATGAACTGTAGCCAGTGCTATTCCTAAATATTTACATCATACCAGACACCTCAGAAAACAAAATAAATGATCCTTCTAAAATGAAAAAAATATATAAAACTACAAGTGCTTTATAATTTCTCTTTCATGTAATGAGTAGAGATTAGCACAATTTGTAGCAGTAACTTTTTTAAAGAGAGAAAATTTTGTCTTAAAGGGGAAACAAATCTTAATAAGAGATGGAAAAAAATACTATAATCTGAATAATTTCAGCAATGAAGAAAAGGATGCTACTTTTAGGTATAGGTATTAAAATCATACACATAAAGAAAAATCAAAATTACCTCTCAAACCATGTTTTTATACTGTGTGCAAATGATTCCCCAGGATATAGCTGATTATTTCTTAGATACAAAAGAATGTCTAGTAGTTTGTTTGAATACTGATCATCTTTTATGTCTTTTCCAAAATCAAAGAAGGCTTTTAAAGTTTCCATCATAGGAATAATATCATGACTTAACAATTCCTGATATAAATTCCAAGCTATGTTTACATCTTGATGAAGGAGGGCTCCCTGGATACAATCATTATAGTTCTTTTTTGAAGGAATCATGGCTTTTTTAATATCCTCTAACAGCAGCAAGGCCTCTTTCCATCTGTCTGAATGGATTAATCCCCGGATGAGAAGAGTGTTCGCTCCAGATTCTAAACTCTTGTATCTGGCTTTCATGATTTCATAGACGTCAAAAACTTCTGATGTCTGCTTATGAAAGACACAGAGGTACAAATACTTGACCAATAAATTATAGCTTACAATTCCATTGTTTTTTATAGCTACCCAGGCCAGCAGAGATTTGGCTACATCTATAGGACTGTTGTGGTGAGCCATTTGTGAAATGATCCAATTTTCAAAATTAGCTTTTCCTTTGAAATCTTCCTTAAGTTTATCCCACTCTTCCGAATTCAAGGGTTTCGTTGGGAGTTGAATAATGTTGTTCCTCACAGGTAGCAAGGCATGATCTCTACTCTGAGGATTCATCTGTGATCTCTTCTTAGCCGCTCCAGCTGCAAAAAGATGAGACTCAGAAGAAACCTGCTTATTTCTGCCCTCATCTCCTTTCTGGAGAGATCGGGCCCTGGCAACTAGCAGATTCATTGCTTTGGTATTTTGTGGAGACGCGGTTTTAAGAGAAAACCACTTCTGTTGGCTCCTGATGCCATAACAGTCTTTGAGAAAGAGAAAAATATAAGGGTGTCCTGGGCTTAGACCAAGGTATGGGTTACTTTTCCAAAGCTTAGGAAAGCTTCGGATACCAGTGAAACAGAAAGTCATCATGCAGTGAGATCAGCGCAAGGTACTGAGAGAGATGTTCAAAAAGCCCCTACTTCTACAGCATAATTAAGATACTGGGGGTGGGGGCAGAGAATCGAAGCGCAACTTTTTAAAAGATGGTTTTCAGTTTCTCTCAGAAAAACCAAGGTTCTGCTTTTGGAGCTACTGAATAGCAATGACGTCTGGTGAGTTTTCTCCATTAAAGAACGATCCCGGGGCATCCAACCTCGATGACAAGCCGCAGAACCAGGGGTCAGAGCAGGAATCTCTGGTGGCTGTTATATTCCAGTCCACGAACCTGAGGAAAAAGGACAAGGAGGGCCGCCCAGTTCGACTCACGTGGATCACAACTGTCCTTGAAAAGGGGCAGGATCCCGTGGAGGCCTTGCTCAAGGAAGGGCGGAAAGTCAACCGCGACCAAGAGCCCCCAACCCCAAACCCACCAGCAGCAAGAATAGCTGCAAAAGCCAAAAGTCTAGGGACCCTGTCCCTGCAAAGCTCTCCCCACACCGCCAAACTCCTCAGGTGAAGGAATGGGGTGGGGGAGGTGGGTAGTGAGCCAAGCCAAATCAGGTAAGGAAGGGAGGTCCACGAAGGGCACCGCCTAGAGTGTACAGATTGATCACAAACGAAGTTCACTTCATTCTACAACTCACCCAGCACTCACGCTTAATTAACGCAACCATAACCTCGGCCGACACTACCGCGCCCACAATGCACCGCGAGGGCCCGTGCTGTAGGGGCGTGGCTGAACTGGACGCCGGCGTTCAGCTGGTCCTGGCGGCGAGAAGAAGGTGATTTTTGAAGCATTTAGTGGAAGGGCTGAGGCGGATGCTGGAGGCATCTGCTACCTTCAGGGGAACCTTGGGGGCCTCCAGATATCCGCAACTAAGAATGAGAAAAATTGTGAAGAACGAAAGCGCCTCCCTTGAGCCGGAAATGCTGAAAGACTCCTGAGTCACGTGGTGCACACGCGCCAAAAGCCCAACCAAATAAAAGCACAGGCTTCCTTATTCTGCGCCTTTAAAACCGGGCTTGTGAGGTTGGGACGCTGCCTTAAGGAGAATCATTTTCTATCTCACGTCTGCTTTCCCCGCTATCAGTGTGATCGCCGTAGCCTCCGACGCAGTGGCTACAAGAATCGTTTTTTGCCTCCTTAGCCGACTTCCGCCCATATCCAAGATGGCGGTTGAGCGGCCTTCCCAGCCTTTACGGGGCTGGGCGGTGTTTGACGTCTGAGTTGGTAGCGGGTGGAGCGGTTAGTAAACTGCAAATGCAGGAGCTTCTGCGCGGGAGTCTGTCATGGACTGGAAAGAAGTTCTTCGCCGGCGGTTAGCGACGCCCAACATCGGTTCCAACAGTGAGTTTGGGAGGGGCTGCCCACAGAGATGGCCCGGCCCTAAACTCCTAGCGGTGGGGGGGGGGGGGGGGGGAGAGAATGGGAGGAGCAGCAACGCGGAGCCGCGCTGTCCGCTTCTGTAAAACCTCGCCTGACAAAGCAGGCAGAGTGCAATGTGGTTTAGAGATCCAAGAGAGGTTTGACCCACACTTCCCTGGGAAAGGATTTGCGGCATTGAGAAGCTCGTTTAACACGGTCTTGACCTGGACTTGTGAGGAATAATGGAGAACTCTGGCTTCAACAACTCTTCGATCCTACCCGAACCTATAATTCATCCTACCGTCTCTTTACTGTCACACTTTTCACTTCCCTCCTTATCCATTGTAGATTTCATAATTCATTTTTTCCGTGTCCCTCCCTTTCCCCCTTCTTCAGACTTGCTTGTTAGCCAACCTGGTAAAAACTACCTTTTCCAGGGCACTGAAAGGGGCTGGAGAAAAAGGGAACCACGGCGCATTGTCTCATTTTAAATTCATGTCCACTAACCTAAAGTGGGTGTTTCGGTCATTCACTGACACTCCTTCCGTGCTTCCCTAGATATTCACTGTCCTACACTCTAAGGCAGTTCTTCTCATCTCCCAAACCTCCAACCCTCCAATGTAGCCTACCTACTCCTTACCTTCAGCAGATGAACTGTGTGTGTGTGTGTGTGTGTGTGTGTGTGTGTGTGTGTGTGTGTGTGNTGTGTGTGTGTGTGTGTGTGTGTGTGTGTGTGTGTGTGTGTGTGTGTGTGAAGGTAGAAGCAATCAAAGAAGAACCTCATCTGTTCTCATCTACCATTTCTACAATATCAGCGCTTTTCCCACCATGGGTGCAGGTACATTTTGCCCTCACTATTAAAATGGAGAACTTTCCATGCTCCTATTTGAGACAGTCTCTCTACTCCAAGACTAGATGTGTTTTCTTTCTTTTATTCACTGAATTCACTCTGGCCTTATCCTCTCTCATGCATCATCACATTTTCCTTCTCTACTGGATCATTTCCATCAGCTCTAACAAACATGCTGTAATAACCCCCATCTTTTAAAAAACCTTTTGATTTCATATCCCTTTCCAGCTTTTGCTTCATTTGTCTGCATCCCTTATAGGAAAACTTCTCGGAAAAATGACCTGTACTTGTGCTTTCTTCTCCCCTTCACTCTTAAACTCACTCCATTGCAAGTCTGTTAGGTTCCAAGTACTGTTCTAGGCTATAGCAGTAAACAAAACAGACAAAAATCCTTGTCCTTGTAGAAATTACACTTTACTGTTGGTAGAGATGATTAAATCAGAAGTAGATCGTGTAAGTTGTGCCACTTCTATTTAAGTCTGTTTCCTTCATCGGTGTGCTAGATCCCATCCTTTTTGCTGGATCCCATTTTTGCCTACTCAAGGATGTACTTCTGCAGTCATCCCCTCTCTCCTGAATCATCCACTTTTTGTAGTCATTCTCATCAGCACATAAATATGGTGGTATTTCTCTAATTTTAAAGAGATGATTTTGTCTTAACTTCCACCTGTTGCTATGCCTCATTTCTCTGTCCTCTTGTACCTCTCCTCCTACACATACTTTCTTCTCTTCATTTCTGGGAGACATACTCTCTTAGTTCTCCTCCTCCCTCACCAGTCATCCCTTCTCAGTCTTTGCTTTTTCTTCCTCTTCTCACCAACAACTTAATATTGGGGTGACATAGATTTGGGATTTAGAAATTAAACTATGAAAGTTGAAGTTACAGAAGAAGGAGGATTAACAGAAAAGATGAAATGGCCAGAAAATAGGAGAATCAACAGAATGTGATCTCATAAAAGCTGAGAAAAGGTTGGAATTATCAACAGTATCATATTTAACAGAAATCAAGGACACGTGTCCATTAAACTAAGCAATTAGGTCATTGGTTGCCCTGGCGAGAACAGTTTCTGTAGAGTGGTAAGAGTAGAAGCAGGATCGTATAAAGAGGAGGAGATGAGAGGTAAGAAAGCAGAGATAGCCAACATAGACTTTCATTTGAAAAAGTGAATGAGAAAGGAAGGAGTTTTGTGTGATAGTAGGTAAAAAGGAAGGAGGGGTTTTTTTTGGGGGGGGGGGCTGGGAAGGAAATGGGAGAGATCTCAGTGTATTTCTAAGTTAAAGAAAAGCCAGTAGAGATGAAGAAATTGAAGGTTCTGAACAGAGAAGGAAGGAGAAGGAAAGAATAAGTGATTGAACAACTCACAGGAGAATTGCAAAGGCTGAGATTAAGCTCTCAGGTAGAATGAGGGGTTAGCCTTGAGTGAGAAAAAAGATACCTTCTTTCTCTGAAACTGGCAGGAAGAAAGTAAGGTGCAGATTTGATACCTTCCTGTCCTCCCACTCCACTTAGATGTTTACGGGTGTCCATGCCCAGTAGACTCAGCTTTCAATGCACTGGGATTGTTGTCTGTTAAAGGTGAACACAGAAGGGGTTTGGGGAATGGAGTGACAATTTGGAGCAATCAGTCACCAAGAGGAATAAGCAAGAGAACATCAAGGGTAAACAAAATATGTACTGGTGTTTTTGAGAAGTTGATTTATTCATTAGTAACCATGAAATAAATTTTTGGAACCAAATTTTGCAGTTTTCTCCTACAGCATTAAGCCATATAAACAAATTAGATTATTAAGATGGGTCCAAAGTTAAAAGTTAACATGGCAGATGTGGGAGAAATGCAGGCATAAGAGGAGTTTAGGGGAAGAACTACAGGCATGTAGGGAAGGAAGTCAGATGAGGAGGAGGAAAATAAACTTTTGAGAAATAGAACATAGAGTTGAAGATCTCAGTGAGGCTAAAGTGCAGGTATTATGGCAGTGAGGCTTTGAATAACAAGAAGAGAAAAATTATCTGAGGATATATTAGCGTTTAAGATTTCAGAAGAGGGGCCGGCCGAGTGGCTCAGTTGGTTAAGAGCTCGCTCAAGAGTGCAAGCTCTGAGCAACAGGGTCACCAGTTCAATTCCTACATGGGCCTGAGCTGAGCTGCCACTGAGCTGTCAACAGGTGGCAGGATGGCTCAGCTAAAAAAAAAAAAAAAATTTCAGAAGAGGAGCAGGTAAGACCTGTGGTCTTTCCATGGAACTGAGTGACACATTCCATGGAACTAAGTGACACAGTAAAGGTGAGAGCCTTCAGAGTTGAGGGGTCACCGTCAGCCGTATTTATTCTTCCTTGATGATTGCAAAACATTGAGGTGAAGAACACTGTGTACCACTCACCATGGTCCACAGACAAGTGTGGAGGAATGGCTGAATGAGACAGCTATGTGCCAGCAGCAGGCAGGTTTGGAGGGTAATAGCATCCTGATGTGTGAGCTTCAGATGGAAGGGTTTTGCATTAGGTAGAGGAACAGTGATTAGGAAGCTAAAACTCCATGAGGGCAAGGGCTGTGCCTGCTTTCTTACCACTCCTGCCCCAATGTCTAGTACAGTGAGTGCTCTGTACATAGTAGGTGCTCAGTATATACTTTTGATTGAGTAAATTAGGAACATGCCAGAAGTCTGTAAGAAAGGCAGTGATTAGAGGAAGAGACAAATATAGTGATTTTAAAAAAAGTGGAGCAGCAGCTAAGAGTGGTTGAAGATATAGGGGAGGCTTTTTCAGTAGAAGATAGTGATTCTTGGTATTTCAAGGAAGTTAATATAGATGTTTAGTGTCTAATCACAACTATGAAGGCCTTTTTTGTACTGTATTTAGATGATAGTAGATAGATGATCTGAGAAAAGTATTGTTTGATTTTAAAAGTGCTTTTCCCCCATTAATCTACTTGTTACCAGAAAAAAAAAGTGAACAAGAATTAAAAGATGAAGAAATGGATTTATTTACCAAGTACTACTCAGAATGGAAAGGAGGTAGAAAAAACACAAATGAATTCTATAAGACCATTCCCCGGTTTTATTATAGGGTAAGTAATATCTAAGCAAATGTCCTGCAGAGTTTATAAATAAAGTTAATTTTAAAAATTGGATAAGAATCTTGTACTTTATAAATAAATTGAGGACTATATTTTAAATTTTATATATTCTTTCATTCTATTTTAGTTTACCATTACTTTGGAGCTGATAAAATCTTGAGCTTTCTTATCAGTTAGTATAAACACAAAGTTGTTACTTGCCCACTTTTTGAGCTATTGGGTTTTTCTTCCTAATTTTTATTATGGATATTAGTAGTAGGTGTTCTCTTGGATTATGTTGTCAGGCTTTTTATAAGATTTAGGTTTACTTAGTTGATCATAATTTTTAACTTGGTCTTTTACTCATGTTATAAGGTGTAAAATGTTTTGCTCAGGCTAAACTGATAAATAGATTGAGAATGTAAAACTTGAAGAGTTATTCTCAGTTATGTTTTCTTGTGCCAAAACTGTAAAGAAGTCTTTGAAGAGGGTCATAGATTAAAACAGCTATTTACAGCTGAAATTGAAGGCTACTAAAAAGAATAAGACCTATTTAGTATTATGTGAAATATAACCACTATAGAAAAGTTAATTTTGGAATTTTAGTTGAATGGATTTGTCGGGTATTATTTCCCTTGTTTCTTCTTCCCCTCCACTGCTTCAGAGAAACCACCTATCATCCATCTTTGGTCACCACTTCTCCCCTGGCTGATTAGCTGGTTGACTAGCCACTGGACCACAGTGTGTCTCAGCCCAGTCTCACCTTTTAATGCTTCTTCCTTCTCCGTTCCTTTTGACTGAAGGGATGGCATCTTAGTTCTTTTGGAAATGAAAGGTGAAAATCATAACCCCCAGTTTAGACTAAGGGTTACTTAGCTACATTTAGTGTGACAAAGATACAGAGAAGCAAGAAGAAATCCTCAAAGCAAATTATATGAAGTGGAGTTGGAATGAGTCGTTTTGAAGCCGTTTATGGAAATCATCCAAGTGGGCATAACCTTTCTGCCTTGGAGGCCAACATAGTAGATGCTGGCTTGACCATCTCTAAGAAGTAAGGTGATCCAGTCTCAAAAGGCATACTTTTCTAAGACTGCCAGTCTTCAGCTAGTCCTAATTTAATTCTTTATCAGTCTAAGCTTATAGTGGAAATAGTGCTCTAAGAATGTAAAATGGAACTTGGGCTAGACCATTAGCTTTTATTGGGCAAGCATCTGGCCTTGCTAATCATTGAATTCTCTGTGGATCTCTTTTTGTTAAATGAACTTTTTAAATGGATGATGACTTGAAGTTAAGCAAAAATGAGATACAAAAAGTAATTTGAGGCAGTGTCATAGTTATTTCATGAGGTCAAATACATTTTACATAATCCAATAGTCTAGAATTTAAGTGTAGAAATTAACTCTACAATGTATTCTTAGCTGCCAGCTGAAGATGAAGTCTTACTACAGAAATTAAGAGAGGAATCCAGAGCCGTCTTTCTGCAAAGGAAAAGCAGAGAACTGTTAGATAATGAAGAATTACAGGTAGGAATGAAATCAAAGCTTGCTTTGGATGTTAGCTATTTCTTTTTGTACTATTAATACCTAATGTCATATAGGACCTTAAGAGGCCGTAATGGAGCCAGTACTGCAGCGTGGGTGAAAGCACCGGCTCTGGAGAAATGGTTCCCACCAGAATCAGCTGCAGATCTTACAATGGGTGGATCTCCCAAGGATAGTTTTGTTTTTTAAAGGTGATTCTAATGTGAGGCCAAAGTTGAGAACCACTACTATAGGGTCAAACTGCAGGTGTCAGATCCCAGCCCTGCTCTGTGATCTTGGGCAATGGACTTAATATCTCTGGGCTTCAGTTCTCATTTGTAAACTAGGGATAACAGTATCTACAGCATATAGTTATATGGATTAAAGAGGCCTTATATAAGTTTATTTTTATTGTATTATTAGTAATCAAAAGGATAATAGGAGGGCCGGCCAAGTGGCGCGTTGGTTAAGAACTGGCTTGGGACGCCAGAGGGCCCCGGTTCGGATCCCACATATGAGGGCCAGTGACACTGCCCTTTACAGCTAAGATGCTAAACAACAGCTCAACCTGGAGCTGGGTTGCCATGAGTCACCGGCGCTGGCGTGGGCTGCAGCCGCTGCTGCAGTGGGTTGCAATGGGCTACCATGTGTGGCCAGCAGCCAGCGTGAGCGGCCCTCAAGCCACCGTGAGCAGCCGTCCAGAAGCTGGCGACTGATCTGCCTCACCCGGGAAGAGCACAATGATGGTGCCAACTCGGGCCAGTGAAGCAACGTCCTCCACAACTAGACTGAAGAACAAAAACAGCAACTTGTCTGTTCCCCTTCCCCCAATTCCCCAGCGCTGTTCCCATCCCCCATTCCCCAATAAAAAAATCTTTAAAAAAAAAAAGATAATAGGAATGAGATTCATCTTAATATTAACTCTCTGCCATCAGACTATCATTTTAATGTAAATAACATATCTATATTTTTAAATTTTGTTCTATTATAACTTCTGCATTTCTGAAATTTTTCTAAGAACTTATGGTTTTTGTTGGACAAGCACCAGACACCACCTATGATTGGAGAGGAAGCAATGATTAATTATGAAAATTTTTTGAAGGTTGGTGAAAAAGCTGGACCAAAATGCAAGTAAGAATGTTATATTTAACAAAGGCGTATGTTACATTAAGCATTTTAAATGCTTCAAATAAATGTTAATGAAAAGTCAAGTCAATGGCATGACAATTTGAGTCAATTTGTGTTACAAATGAAGTTTAATAAAATTATTTAATCAAAAAAATTACATAGGTATAAAGTTATTAAAAAATAATATGGTTTATTTACAAACTAAAGGCCTTCATTCTTAAGACAATGGAATGCACAGGTGTATGACTTAATATTTTAAGTTTTGAACTAAAGTTCTCACTTTGATTTTTTTCCACTTTTTTTAAATTGTTTTAACTTATGCTGTTGTTTGCTAATGCATGTAGAAGTAATTTTATATTATGTTGGCAGATGGATTTAATCTTTGTTTTCTTTCCTTAGGCAGTTTTTCACAGCAAAAGTCTTTGCTAAACTCCTTCATACAGATTCTTATGGAAGAATTTCTATCATGCAGTTCTTTAATTATGTTATGAGAAAAGGTGATTTCATTTTTATTGTGCTTGAACTACTCCTATCTGGGAATCAAATAGGTTTTTGGTCCATGCTTTTATAGTATCCCTTCCATGTGAAACAACTCTTAGTAAGTTCTAATAGCAGAATTACTTGTCTTTTGAACAAGATTTGATTTTCTATTATGAGTCTCTCCTGGAATTTACTAGAGCGGAGATTTTCTACCATAAATTTGGGTTCATTATTATAAAAAACAAACAAAATAAAAAACTTCACGTATCCTAAAGATACTAGCTAATTAGATATATATCAAAAGCTGAACCAAGAGTTTTAATGTATGGTGATTTAAAATAATTTTAATTCACTGCTAATTGTATTTCACCAGTATACTATAGGCTGAGTTGCCTAAGAGGATACTTTCAAACTCACAACTGTAGCATCAGATTCAAGGAGTTTTTACCAAGCAACTTGAAATTGTTATGATTCCTTTAAGTCCCATAATGATCTGTGAAGTACTATGTGTACAATCTTTAACTAATATTTGGTTGCAATAATTAACCTCTGTAGAATAAAAGCAGCTTCATTGAAAGCATAATGTTATTCTCACTGTCCCAGTTTGGTGGAATGCCAAGTTTAATAAAGAGCAGTATCTTAAAGGGCATCAACTTTATAGTCACTTTAGGCATGGTAGAATTGTTGATATCTACTATTAATTCTATGGTAGTTTCATTTTGTTTTGAACAATTGGGGGCCTATAAATAAGTAATATGTGTGAGAATAAATATGTTCATAGAGTTATTAGATTAGCTTGTTTATCTAATCTAGCTCTTTATCTTCTTTTGTCCATATAGATGCTAAAGGATAACTCTTAATAATTACATTTAATTTTCTTGTTTATTATCAGTTTGGCTTCATCAAACAAGAATAGGACTCAGTTTATATGATGTTGCAGGACAAGGGTACCTTCGGGAATCTGTAAGTATTAACCTACTTTAATAACTACTATAGGAACCAAAATGTTAACAGTAGTTATCACTGGGTATTGGGATAACAGATGATTCTTTTTTTTGTTTGTTTTTCTGTTTTTGTTTTTACAAATAACATAGGTTACAAAAAAAAAAAAACAACTTTTAAAGTGTATATTGACCACATAAATTCCTTTTTAGATTCTTTTTTCCAGACTTAATAAATACATAAACAAATAACCTTTCAAAGGAAAATTGTAAGAAGAGTGTAGAGTTTTCACAGGATTAAAAATCATTGAAGAAACAGTGAAAAACTTTTGGTTATTTATGAGTGTTATCAGTGTATGACTGTTTTAAAATGTAAGGGCCAGGAACTTTTCCTCTTTTAGGAAATATATAGTAGAAAAATAATGTGACTGTTTTTCTACCTGTAGGTTTAGGTTGTAACGTCAGTTACCAAAAGGCCTGTTTATTTTCCATTAGGTATTAATGTAGTTAGGCCAAGTTATCAGCAGAGAATTATAGTCTCATGATCTAAATGGTTATGCTTCTTTTGTAAGTGTGAGTATATAAATTATATGGACATGCTTCTTTTCAGCTCAGGCTTTTCCCCCAAATATGGAGTCCTTTTTAGGGTCATCAGGAAAAGGGGAGGAATTAGGCATAAATATGGACCAGGTTAATTAATCACTTAAATAAATATTCAAATGTAAGATTTAAAGACAAATTCCCTGTTATAGTTTGTTTCTTGTTATAATTTGTTGCAGTCTGCTTTATCCAGGTTTCTGTAGATAGAATCTGTTAGCTCATACTGAACATTTATACTTAAAAACCTTTCTAGGGACACAGTACAATTTTTGAACTTTAAGGTTCAGATTAACTTGACAATAAAAGGCTCTTGTTCCTATCCATCTGTCTCTGGCAAGGAAGATATATTAGCCACCTGTTGATACTTTCTCAGGTCAGATATTGGAGTACTCCTGTAGTTCTGAGAATTCTTGTCAGCCGTTAGTTGGTTTACAAAACACACTTCCCTTTTCTTGCCTCTTTTCATAAATGGAAACAAAAATTGAAAAAGGAGTGAAGAGAGGGGAGAGAAAAGCAACAGTATATCTCTGTAGTTGTGTTTAAAAGAGAGTGGTCTTCCCTTCTGTCAATGAAAGAAAACATGTTTCTTAAAGAAAAGAAATATTTCTCCTACTCTGGGCACATTGCCTTTTGAAACCAGACTCTGTGTCTTTCTCATTTAAAAGACAGTGATTTCCAGAGCGAACATCTGTAATTTGAGTCATATAGGCAAACTTCCATTCACTTACTAAATCTTATTAAATGAGCATTTACCAAACCCTTAATTTGTGCCAGGGTACTATTCTAAGCCTTACTCTTATGGAGCTTCTTTTTTTAGCAGAGTGGAGAGGCAGACACTGAATTATAAGCAAGATGATTTCAAATAATGACAAGTTCTACAGAGAAAATAAAATAGGGTAATGGAAAAGAATATGACTAGGGTTGGGGGGCTGTTTTAGATAAGATAGAAGGGGTACCTGTGAGTAAGTGATTGAGTCTTAGTTGTGAAGGATGAGAAAGAAGCCAGCCTTATGGAGATATAGTGGAGAGGGAACAGCAAGGTCAGTGTCCCCAAGGCAGAGTTAAACCTGACCTGTTCTAGGAACTGAAGGAAGCCAGTGTGTCTAGAGCATACAGCAAGAGATAGTGACAGGATATGAAGTTGGAGAGAGAAGTAGGCCGAGGGCCACATGTGGGGTCTTTAGGCCATGGGAAGGAGTTTGGAAGCCATTAGAAGTTTTAAGCTGAATCTGTCAGGATATGATTTACATTTTAAAAGATCACTCTGGGTATTGTATGGAGAATGGATTGTAAGGCGCCTAGAGTGAAAGAAGGTTAAGCTCTGTAGTAGTCCAGGTGAGAAGTGATAATGGCCAGACCAGCGTGATGGCTGAAGAAAAAGCCAGTGATAGATTAATATATATTTTGGACACACACACACACACACATATACCAAAAATTTGCTACTGGATTAGATATTGGGGGTAAAGGTAGGGTCCCTGGTGAAGGAAAGGTAGGAACCAAAGATGACTTCTAAATTTTTATTTTGAATAACTGCTACAATAGGGAAAAATGAGTGAGGACCAGGGATGGGGGTGATAAGAGTCCCATTTTGGACACCCCAGGTTTGGGATGCCATTTGTTCTACAACATAAATTATAAAGTATGTCTGATCAACTAGAAACATTATACTTTACAATGGCGAAAACAAAAGTAACAAAATTGTTAAAATGAATATAAAAAACTATGAGACACTTTTAAATATGTAATCTTGGAATAGTGAAAGGCTTTCTAAGTATGACAAAATTCAGAAGTCTAAAAAACAATAAATTCAGCTAAATTTTTAAAAAGTCTGTAGGCTATAATAAACAAAAGAAAACAAAGTGGGGAAAAGTACCTGAAACTCAGACAAATCGCCTATTATCCTAATGTATAAAAAGCTTCTAGAAATCAGAAGATAATGGCTTGCTAGCCCAATACAAAACTGGGCAAAGGATATAGTTTGCAGAAAGCAAAATAAAAATGTTTCTTAATCATAAGAAAAAATATTAACTTCACATAAGAGAAATGTTAAATAGATCTACATTAAAATACCATTTTTCACCTATCAGATTGACAAGATCAAAGTTTGATAACATTTTAACGAAGGAATGTAAAATTGGCCATGGTTTCCCAAACTTTTTCAGTTCACGGTGCCCTTATTGTCTCAGTATTTTTCATAGTGCCTCTAGGCTGAAAGAAATAAATACCTAATAGTTCCATTTATTAACTAGTTAGTTCTAAACAATTTAATGGAAGTATTCCTTAAACGTACCCTATTAGCCATTTGAATAAATAATACACATAAGTTAAAAGAAAATGCTATTTTTACTTCATTCTTAGATAACAGTTACCAACGGAATGTGAGGGCCCAGGGAGCACTGTGTAGCTTCTCAGTCTGGAGATTAGATTGGACAGTCATCCTAACTTCCTCTTTCACACTAATTTTTGTGTAGTACTTGCTTTATTACCACAACTATCAAGAGCCTAGCTTTGCTAATATTGATGTCATCAAAAGGAATATAGATTTCAAACTAATGTTGAAAATGTGAATTACCTTGAGCCATCATAGCTCATGCACTATATGACAGATGTTGCTATGTTTCTCTCAAAAATTTTAAATACCCTGATGCACCCTTGTAAGGTTAATGTATCACTCCTGGGGCACAATTTGGGAACTGTTGATATGGCCTTCACATTGCTGGTGGGAAATGTAAAATGGATGTGGCCTTTATGGGGAGGTGGGTAGTTGGCCAGTGTCTATCAAAATTATATGCACATGCTTTGACCCAGTAATTCCACTTACAAAAATTATATCCTGTATTCTTCCATATCTGTGAATGAAAATTTTGCTTAGCCCCCATAGTATTGTTTTTAGTATTGCAAAAGATTAGAAATAACCTAAATTGTCCATCATTAGAAGACTAAATAGATTATAGTACATCTGAAATAATACATAGCTATTTTTTTTAAAAGGAGAAGCTCTTTGAGAGCCAATATGGAATGACTGGAAAGTATAGTGTTAAGTGATAAGAGCAAGATACAGAAGAATTTGCATGGTGTGCTGCTAAATGCTGTGAAAAGAGGAAAGGAAATATGCATATATATTGGCTTGTATGTGCATCAGTTATCTTGGGAAAGATACATCAGAAGCTGAATATATAGGTTACCTCTAGAAGAACTAAGTGAGAGGCAGACTTCAATGAATAATTTTTTGTTCTGTTTGAATTTGGAACTATGGAGAATGTATTACCTGTTCAAAAATGTTAAAATGTAAATAACATGTAAATTAATAGAAACAGATTTAATATAAAATAGTTTCAGCACTTTTATTTCATCATTAATATAGTATTAATGCTGAATAATTTTTAGCACTGAAATTATATTCCAGTATCTCATGAAGAAACAAGATCAGACATTTAACATTTTAAAGTTTTATTTTGTTATTTTCTTTCAGGATTTAGAAAACTACATATTGGAACTTATCCCTACTTTGCCACAATTAGATGGACTTGAAAAATCTTTTTACTCCTTTTATGTTTGTACAGCAGTTAGGAAATTCTTCTTCTTTTTAGACCCTCTAAGAACAGGTAAAAAGAAAAAATCTTATCTAGCTTAGATATTATGAGGATATTATTATTTTTACATTTCAATAACTAAAGAAAAGTCTTCAAATGTCATTTTTTATTTTCCTAACATGTCATTGCCATTAACATATAAAGATCTTTTATGATTTATTTGCACCAACCATAACCAGCTGTATGACAGTGGGCATGTCACCTAATCTCTTACAGTTTCTTTTTCTCTAAAATGAATTATGAACTGGGTAATCTATGGCTTCTTCCAGTTCTGAGAAGCCAGTTATTCTGATATAATTTATTACCCCTGATATGTAATATATTTGGAGAATTTTTCTTTTTGATGAAAAATATGAATTGGGAGATAGAACTATTTAGCCATGATATATTTTTCTTTGTCAAGTTAACTGTCCTATATGAGGATCAGATTAGTAAATTTGGCCCCATTAACAGTACATTTTATCAACTGTTCTAATCTGTGAGACTTAAATACATGTAACTGGGGCAGAGATAGGGACTGAAGGCTCAAATCAAAGTCCTTGACTGAATATAGATAGATATATGAGGTAGAGATTTTATTAAATATTCCCTGCACTTTTCTCTTTTCATAGCAATATATAATAAAGACTTTGGAGCATAAGAGCTAGGGAGCTTTAAAATATCAATTGTGTGATTCTTCTAAAATAATACCTTTATAAAATTGAGTTGCTCTTGTTTTTAAAATGCAGTAAGTAATTGTATTTCTTTGTTCTTTAAAGGAAAGATAAAAATTCAAGATATTTTAGCATGCAGCTTCCTAGATGATTTATTGGAGGTAAGTATGTTTTTAAACTACTTAATTATATCACTTGACAGTTGCTATCTTCTAATTAACGTTTCTGTGTTCTTTTAGTTAAGAGATGAGGAACTGTCCAAGGAGAGTCAAGAAACAAATTGGTTTTCTGCTCCTTCCGCCCTAAGGGTGTATGGTATGTTCCTATCATGCTAAAATTAGAATTATCCATTCTTTAATTAATTGTTCAAAGGACATACATAGGCTAATTTACCTTAAGATCAAAGTATTCTAATTACCTTAAGACCTAATATTCTAGATTACTAAAATATACTTGTTTTTAAATACCAATGTTTTAAATTTTTGTAACTCTTAAGTTACTACACTTTATAACTCTTTAATAGAACATACAGAATGTAATTTGATCATTTTGTGTTGACTCAGAAGTATCATTATGAACATCAACTATGGTCTTGCATTTTGATAAAATGCTGCTCTTAGGGTCCACAGAGGGAAGTGTTCTAGGGCCTGGTTTGCTCTTAAATTTCATTAGTCTGTTACATTATTCTATTGAATGGTCTTGACTCATTGAATGGTCTTTGAATCCTTGACCTCTGCTTTCAAGTGCCAGCCAGCATTTCAGTGCTTTTTGTTGACTTCGACCACCATCTAATTTAGAATCCTGGGCAAGCTCTAAAAGGTTGCAAACTGAAAACAAATGATGATGTAAGGGAAATAACCCAAGGCCATGGCCTTCCTGGTGGGTTTTCTTTGACTGGTTCTGACCTGAGGGTTATTCTGATACAGATTATAGGGATAGCTGATGTTAGGGCACTACCCTTAGTGTGTAGTTTGAAAATGAAAATATTAACCAATAAAAAGAACTTTTTCTTAGTTTATTCTTTTGTCTTTTACTTAGAATTTTATTTGGTCATAAGTATCTGTTTATCATCTTTCTTCCCAAGGCCAGTATTTGAATCTTGATAAGGATCACAATGGCATGCTCAGTAAAGAAGAACTTTCCCGCTATGGAACAGCAACCATGACCAATGTCTTCTTAGACCGTGTTTTCCAGGAGTGTCTCACTTATGATGGAGAAATGGTAGTAATTTAAATCTGATAAGCTTCAAAAATGTAGGCTCCCACAATTTCCAAAAATCCTTTTCTTGATCAGATAACAGCATTTTATATCAGTGTGTAATATTATCTTAAAAAGTATGACTATTCAAATTATTTGAGATTTGGAGCCTTAAATTTTAAGGGAAAGTTGCTTTACAACATTACTTCCCTTATGGACTCAGGGCAAATAGAAAATTTTAATATTTTGTTCATTTCATTGTCAGTGTAACTATTATAAAGAGTTGTGGACTAGTAAAATAAAAATCTGAAAAATTGGCAAATCCTATTGACTATTTTCATATAGACAGATCATCCATTAAATTACCAGGTCAGATATAGTACATGTATGCCATGATATAAATCTAATAATAAGGTTGTATTACTCTGTAAGTGGCTATATTAGTAGCTAAAGATTGACTAACATGTACTTTTCCTTTTATTTCAAAATACTTTAGAAGAAAATGTAAACAGTATTTTAAAATTACCATTTTTGCTATTAAAAAGATGTGTTAAGGATCTCATACATTTTCCAAACTAATGATGCTTAAGAAATGGTCATATTGTTAGAAGAGAATCAGGTTCTACGTTTTGTCATTTAGCTTTAAAAGCAGTTTTCTAAATAACACCATTGTTAGCCAACTGCAAAGGAAAGAGGGGAAAAGGCGCAAAAACTGTTTTTGTGGTTCCCACAGCTGTCTACAAGAGACAGTGAGGAGCTTATACTAATGACTTCTGGTGAATAAAGAAAAGCTGTAGCTACAGCTATGTATGGAGTTAGACTATGATGAGGCTGCATCTCTCTAGCTCTTTATGCTGCAATTTGTGCAGAAAGGAATCCTTAATCTTAGCCTAAAAAATTATTTTCCAAGAATATAAAGTTTTTTTCTAAGTGAGGCTCTCTCCCAAGTATTTTACTTCTTGTCACTAAGCAAAAAATGTAATCTGTAACAGATTTAAAACTTTTAAACAATATTTCAAAACAGCTATTAAAATACACTGTTCTATTCATTCCAGATAAACTTTTTTTTTTCCCCCCAAAATAACCACACTGAAGGTATAAATTTAATGGCAATGATAGTTTAGTCACTGTTCTGTCCGGTTTAAAAGAATCATGGAAGAAAATATGGTTTAACACAGAAAATCTCTTAAGAAAATTAACTGTGTCCCCAAAACTGTCCTGTACAGATTAACTGCTACATAGAATTCCTAGAAACCAACATTGAGTATACAGATGAATTTCTCATTTCATATTAAAAATAACTTGCGACCTTTGATTACAAAATAGGTTCAAATCATTACTCATTTGAAAAGTTAATTCCAAATAAGACCTTCAAAGAATGTCATTTTCTTTTCTATAGGACTATAAGACCTACCTGGATTTTGTTCTTGCATTAGAAAACCGGAAAGAACCCGCAGCTCTACAATATATTTTCAAATTACTTGATATTGAGAACAAAGGATATCTGAATGTCTTTTCCCTTAATTACTTCTTTAGGGTAAGTCTCATTTGTGTAAATGAGTTGTTATTCTTTAAGATATGTTATGCCATTTGGTTTAAGTTACCTAGTCAGTGACAATTTTATCTAACTTGTGATGTCTAAATTTAACAGAAGGGTTTATATAACAGATTTCAGAAGGAAATCAAGTCTGTTTTAGTTTTGTTTTTTCTATTTTATTAAAAATATAAATGGGTTAAACAACACTGATTTGATTAGATGTAGAATACTAAAACAAGCGTGTAAATATGTTAGGGGTTGTGCTAGCCTCTGGAGACACAAACATGCATGAGAAATTCTGTGCTCTTGGTGATCAAAAACTACTATGTAGGGGGCCGGCTGAGTGGCGCGATGGTTAAGAACTGGTTTGGGAATCCAGAAGGCCCGGGTTCGGATCCCACATATGAGGGCCAGTGACACTGCCCTCCACAGCTAAGATGCTGAATAGCAGGTCGACCTGGAGCAGGGCTGCCGTGGGTCGCCGGCGACGGTGTAGGCTGCAGCCCCTGTGGCACTGGGTTGCCATGGGCTACCGTGTGTGTCCAGCAGCCAGCGTGAGCAGCCAGCAGACGCAGTGAGCGGCCATCCAGAGCCGGTGACTGATCTGCCTCACCTGGGAAAAGCGCAATGATGGTGCCAACTTGGGCCAGTGAAGCAACGCCCTCCACAACTAGACTGAAGAACAAAATGACAGCAACTTGTCTGTTCCCCTTTCCCCAATTCCCCAGTGCTGTTTCCATCCCCCCAATTCCCCAATAAAAAAAATCTTTAAAAACATCCCTAATTCCCCAGCGTTGTTTCCATCCCCCCAATTCCCCAATAAAAAAAAAAATCTTTAAAAACAAAACAAAAAAAACTACTATGTAGGGTCAGCCAAGCGGCGCATTGGTTAAGAGTTGGTTTGGGACGTCAGCTCTGAGCAGCAGGGCCGCCGGTTCCGATCCCACACAAGCCAGTGACGCTGCGCCCTCTACAGCTAAGATGGTGAACAACAGCTCGACCTGGAGCTGGGCTGCCGTGGGTCGCCGGCAATGGCATAGGCTGCAGTGGGGCTGGCCAGCACCTGGCATGCGCTTTTGTGAGCAACTGTCCAGTGGCTGGCGAGCGACTGCCTCATCTGGGAAGAGCACAATGACAGTGCCAACATGGGCAAGTGAAGCGACGTCCTCCACAACTAGACTGAAGAAAGAGCAACTTGTCTGTTCCCCTTCCCCAATTCCCTAACATTGTTCCCCTCCCCTAATTCCCCAATAGAATCTTTAAAAAAATAAAACAAACAAAAAAAACCTGTAAAATCCTACAGAAGCTTAAATAGTTCAGAAAAGGTAGCTCCTTTCCATAGGAGTTTTGTAGACTTTGGTAGTTGTAGATTCTTTTCATTGCTGTGTTGTAAAAAATAATTTAAAAACTGGCTAGAATTGGTGCTGCATTTTAGTGTGAAACAGATTTGCTGAAGTACATAATTTGTGCCTTAGTTGGTCTCAGAGAATAACATGATGAGCTCTGAAGTAGAATTTGATGTATCTTATCTGGTAAGCATCCAGATGCAGCAAGTGTAAAAATAGGAATGTCTACCCTATTAAGACAAATCATCCAATTTGAAAGGTGACTTTTCTACTTGATGGAGTAGTTTTGTACAGTAGTTTTCTACTCCATCACATTTCTATAGCTAAATTTTAGAAGAGTGTTATTTTTTTTGTTTGTTTGTTTTTAATTGGAGATTTGGGGGAGCAGAACAGAAAAGTTGCTGTCCTTTTGTTCTGTCTAGTTGTGGAGGATGTCGCCTCACTGGCCCATGTTGGTATTATCATTGCGCTCTTCCCGGCTGAGGCAGTCGCTCCCTGCCATTGGATGCTGCTCACGGTGGCTCACAGCAGCTCACACTGGCTGCCGGCTGCTCAAACTGTCAGCCAGCCACTCATGGTAGCTCAAGGCAGCCCACTGCAGCAGAGGCTGCAGCCCACGCCGTCGATTGATGGTAATCCAGCTCCAGGTTGAGCTGTTGTTCACCATCTTAGCTGTAGAGGGCAGTGTCACTGGCCCTCATGTGGGATCCGAACCGGGGTCCTGCTGCCCAGAGCTGGCATCCCAAGCCAACTCTTAACCAACACGTGCCACTCAGCTGGCCCAGGAAAGTATTATTTTTATATGGTTAAGATCACTAGTAGGAAGAAAATTTTTTTAACAATAAAAGTAACATTTTTACATCTTTGTCATAAACAATTTTTCCCCAGAGGCTTTTTTCCCCTTTCCATTTAAAACTTTGGTACTTTTAAAATAACTGTTTCTGAGTTTCATAGTACATACTTGATAACTTCATGTTAAATTCCCTAAAAGGTTTTCCATTATGATCTTCTAGGTAGTAACGACGCAAGTATTACGATAAATTACAATCCCAATATTAGGATGCATTGTTTTGAAATTTGGGCTTAAATCAGTGGCTAATCTGAAAAGATAATGCCAACCCATTATAGGGATGCTATCACTTTAGGCAGACTTATTAAATGAAAATTCAGTTTTAGGGAAACAAAGTAAATATATCTTTTGGTAATTAAACACTCAACCCTTTTTTGTAAAGATTTCTTTATAGTATCTTATACTTTTAGAATGTTAAATTTTATTTAATACATTGAAAATATTTCATACATGCATTTATTTTATCATTTTATCTGGGCTTGGCTGTATGGGCTAAGGAAACACGTTACTGGTACTGAGCCCTGCATCCTGGGCTGTTCACAGAACCTTCATACCTCAATATCCAAGTGATGAAGCTGGGCCTGGATGGTGCACTGTGGAGCATACCATCCAGGTCTACTAGTCTAGTAGCTAAGATTGTACTCAGATTCTCATCTACTTCAAAGAGTTTCCCTGTACACACTCTGATATCGGTGGCATCACATACAGAGTAGGCACTTAGAACATAATAAATTGACTGTTTACCAAGAATTTGAAGCTTCATATTTTCCAGTGAATGATTCTCACCTAAAATACTTATCTAACTGGATCACAGTACAGTTGACCCTTGAACGACACGGGTTTGAACTGTGTGGGCCCACTTGTATGCAGATTTTTTTTCAATAAATATATTGAAAAATTTTTTGGAGATTTTGTTATGAAGCTGTCATATTGATCACACCTAGTCTATAAAGCAATCATACTGCTGCTGCTTCATTATTAATGCATGAATCATTATTTATACCTGATAATAGGAATTTTTTCACATCTTTTCATTTTTGATGTCTAGTATTAGTGGTATGTATAGCAGCAACAGTATTTTGTATCATAAGACAATATTGATGTAGTTACAAACGATTCATCTTGTAAGCAGATGACAAACTTATGGTATCAATACAGTACAGTAAATGTATTTTCTCTTATGATTTTAACATTTTCTTTTCTCTAGCTTAATGACTACAGTATATAATACATGTACAAATTATGTTAATTGACTGTTTTTGTTACTGGTAAGGCTTCTGGCCAATAATAGGCTATTAGTAGTTAAGTTTTTAGTGTCAAAGTTATACTCGGATTTTCAATTATGTGTGGGGAGGTCAGTGCCCCTAACCCCTGCAGCATTCTACAGTCAACTTACTTTCTTCAGTATTTTGTTAGTTTATAAGAGTTCAGGGGAGATTTACCTCCATTTTTTCTGTCAAGTAGATGGCAAAGTGTAGGCAGGGCAGGAAGGTGGTAGATTGGGTGTCTTAAAGAATGAAGGTATGAACAGTGTTCCGGGAAATGAGAGATCATAACAGGTGTAATTGCTAGGCTACATTAAAGGCTTATCTGAGATGGAAGACCATTCCTACAGTAATCTGTAGTTTTGCATACTTTCTTTCTGAAGCTCTCAATAGCTAAGGTATAGGCCTAGAAAGGGTTGATGGTTACACTGATCCAGTTTTTAGGTTTTGCTGAGTAGATGTGAAACAAGGTCAAGGAAGTTGAGAATATTGGCAAGAGTGATTGAAACAATGAGGCTTGTGGTCTGATAGGAAAGGGAATGGAACTAGAAATGGGCCATGGGACTGGATGGGGCTGTTGTGCATTTTATTTACAGATTTGTTTCTGCCAAATACAGGCCATACAGGAACTAATGAAAATCCATGGACAAGATCCTGTTTCATTTCAAGATGTCAAGGTTACTTTTTCCTTTAATTTATATAACACTAGATAATCATTTATATTAAATTAAATTTTATATGAAAGTAACATAAAGTACAGAACCAAATCAAGTATTTGCTCTTATTTGTTCTGAAATGATATTTAAATCATTAAAACAGATGACAGTTGGACTAATGATTTTTGTCGTTTGATTTTATCATTGTCACTCATTTCAATGAGTGTTCTCATTGAAAGCATTCATTTTTATTGAAAATTAAGAGACTCAATATAGCCTGCATCCTTTGGCAATCTATTCCACTGTAAACTGAATTTTTAACATGGAAATTAGGTTGGAGCACCTTTTTATTCTTCTACTTCAAAGGCTTACTTGCTTTGGTATTATTTAAGGAGACATGAGTCCTACAATTTGAAACCATGCTGCTACTTAGCATTTTAGTATTAAAACTTTTACCAGCTATGAAAAACACTGAGTATTCAGTACTGATTCAGGTTCAAGTTGAGTAATGTAATAACACATTCAATTTTAACCAAGTATAAGATAAAGGGCTATTTTGGGTTAATATAAGTGACACAAATTTTAAACTGCAACAGGCAAATTAAGAACTAGTTAATTTTAATTGGTCATCAACCTGGAAAAGGCAGTTTCACAAACATAAGATTAAAAGTTCACAGGTTTCATAAATCTGAATTGTTCTAATCTTTTAAAAATGTAATTTGCCTCCTTAAATGCTACTCAATACTGAGTAATTTTACTACAAAAAGATTAAAAACATGTAGTAATTCCTTGTATTTATATAGTAAACTTCATAATATAGAAGTTCTTCCATCTGTTCCAGTAAATTTTAGCACAATTTAATGCCATTCCAGATTGACTAATTCTTTAATACCACCACCCCCTCATCCAATGTCTAGAGTATAAAATTCACATCAATATTGGAAATGAAGCTTTGTCATAATCTTGGCTCTGAAGCATTTAAGTTTTTACTTAGAGCTGAGTTTGTACTTTAAATCAAGGCTTTGCTTCACCACTACCAACAGAAAAGTATGAGTAGTTAGTTAACATGTATTCAAAGTACACTGCATAAGATAGTTTAGCCATTAATTACTGTGTAACTTAGATTAAACTCTCAGCTTCAGTTTCTTCCTCCATGATGGATATCACATACCTAAGGAATCTTCTAACAAAATCCTGTGATTGTACATAGAGAAAAGGAGACTGCCTGTCTGTTAAATGGAAAAGAAAAAACTGGAACAAAAAATTTTACATAAGCCCAAGTGCTAGCCCTGAATTTTAGGTCACTGTGTGATAGAAATTAAGGGAATCAGATATCAGATTTCATCTTTCTTTTTTCTCTCTTGCAGGATGAAATCTTTGACATGGTAAAACCAAAGGATCCTTTGAAAATCTCTCTTCAGGATTTAATAAACAGTAATCAAGGGGACACCGTCACCACCATTCTAATCGATCTGAATGGCTTCTGGACTTATGAGAATAGAGAAGCCCTTGTTGCAAATGACAATGAAAACTCTTCAGACCTTGATGATACATGATCTCTCAAAGACTAGACTGTATTCATTAAGATAAGCCTGAATGCTACATGTAAAACCTTTGAAGCAGAATCCTTAGAAATGGTCTAATAAAACACTTCATATGCCTGTAGAACACAGCAAATGTTCTCATTATTGGAATTAATAGTTTGGAAGCAATAGGACCAAATTAGGAGGCAGTAAATTCTGGTTCCACTTAGCTCAACTATGACAAGTGTGATTTGGTGAAGGTAGAAAGAGTCCACTTTAAATCTGTGTAATCTTTAGAAATAAAGGAAATTTTCATGGAATATTTCTAACATTAGTTATTAAGAATTTAAAAATGTGAAGGGTGGTTTAAATTATAGTATCATTTAATGTTGAGTCTTCTACAGTATTATGTATATCAAAGATTACAGACTTCCCCATTCATTAGAATAAAGCCGTTTCATTTCTGGGTTAGAAGTGTTTAGACATGATGTTTCTTTTAATAGGATATTTCAATACAAAGTATTTAAGTTAATATTTTAATTAAAATCACTGGTACAAGAAATTTGTCTAGCTTTATTAACCAATACCAGGGTTACATTTTATACAACTTCATTTTGTTAAGGATTTTTGTTAGAGAATTTATTTCTCTGTAAAGGTTCTCAATTATACTGTCATGTTTACTTTCTATGAGATGAAAGATTAGAAGAGGATAGAATATCATGAACTATGATCCAGAGGGAACAGTAAATATTAAAAGGGTTGAAAGAAGAAAAACTGAAAGAGACTTAAAAATAACACAAAACCATTTAATTCATTTATGGGACATTTTATAGTTTGCATAAATAAAAATATAAAAATTTAAGGCACAGTGAATCACTATGTAAACATTACAAACTGGCCACTGTAGGACAAGTAGAGAAAGTAAAATTCAGGAAACGTAAAACCTTCATAAGCCATCTTCCTTCTACTACAATCAGAGAAGTTTCTAGTTTTATCTAGCACCTCTAGGGAGAGAAGATTCAGATCACCTTTAGATATGCATGCCTTCACTGGATAACTATCTGAGTTGGAGGTAGTATCTCAAATGAAGTTAAAAACAAATTAGAGGGAAGACATCAAAGTTAGCATATTTTAGAGCTATTTGTAAACTGTAATTTTTGGTGCCAATTACATAATCTGATGATTAATCCTTTAAGCACTAAATTATAAAGTTTTTACCCATAGCTAAAAAGATTACCATGCCATGAATCACCACACTACGAATCCATGTAACCAAAGATTCCTAATGAAGAATTATCTTTCATAAATCCTTCACATTTCAGTTTTTCAACTGAACTCAGTGACCAGATGTTCACTTTCATTGACAACAGAATTTCATAACAGGCCCACTATACCTATGTTGTGAGTTTCTATTTTACGTAGATACATTTAAGATTGAAAACAATGCTATTTAGAAGGCAATTAACAACCATTAATCTCTAAAAGCTCTTTAAGTTTGTGAACAGGCTTTTATCTGAAATATGCCACACATTTTTATTACATTTAGTTATAAATCAGTCATGCAGATACTTCCTAAGGTTCTGAACACATATTTAGGAATATTTTCAAAATTAGTTTCATACTATACTTTTGTAAGGATGGCTAATAACAGTGGGTAGAGAGATGACCAACCTGGGTCAAGTAAACTGTCCACTTTACTGTTACTTTGAAGTGGTGAATGACAAGTACCTTCTATGCTACCATTGCATCTTTTTTTTTTTTCCTTTGTTTTTTTTTTAAGCTGAGCCATCCTGCCACCTGTTGGTAGCTCAGCGGCTGCTCAGCTCGGGCTGGGAATCGAACTGCTGTTGCTCAGAGCTCAAACTCTTGAGCGAGCTCTTAACCAACTGAGCCATTCGGCCGGCCCTACCATTGCATCTTGTATAATACTTAACAGTGAGCCCCTGAAGGGTTAAGTCTTCATCAGTCCCCCATCCCTACCCCAGCTCTATAACTACTTGGCCCACAGGAGGCACTCAGGGCTGAATGAGTAACATAACCAGGATGCCATGTGGAAAATCACTAGGTATTACCACTTGAATCCAAATACATTAATAAATTCATTCAGTAACTACTATTTTTAATATTACGTTCAAAGCTAGTTAATTTGAATAACTACTGAGAAAGAATACAAGATTAACTATTAAAGAATGGAAACCCATTTTATATTTGGTGTTATAAACACAATCACCTTTACATAAAGTTATTCTCAAGGAAAGGAAATTCAAAGTGCTTTTATCTTGCTCCTTTTATTACACAGTGAACCATCCTTAGTATGAAATTAATGGTTAGATAGAAATATAAATGTAAGATATGAGAAAATGTAAGGGGGAAAAGATCTTCATTTTAATCTTAATTAGGAATACCAGCTCCAATTAGCTTAATCAGCAACTTAAATATTTTTTCTTACAAGTAACAGGCAAGCTTGATAATTTAACTCTTCTTAATTTGCAGTTAGAGCTTTAAAATGTCCTTAACTCTTTAAGATCATTTTAAAACTAAAGCACTAATTTGACACAGTAAAAGCGTAGTACAAATATCCAAATTTCAGATCTGACTTTTGCTACATAGAGCCTAAGAATAAAGAAACATTTTTCCCTTTTCAGATAATTTAAAATATAAATAACTGTATTAAGTCCCACTGAACAGAGAATGTAGAAGTTCCTCATATAAAAACCACCTTAGAGTTTGAAGTTTGATAGTCATTCCGTTCTATGGTGGGACAGAGACTGGATTTTGTTTGCTTTCCATAATTACTTCACAATCGCCCTCCATTTCAAAATTGAGATTCACAAATGAACTGGATACCACTGTTTCTGGTTGATCTGTCTGAACAATGGATTCGGCCTGCAGCTTATTCTGTTGGTATTGTCTTTCTGCTTCTTCAGACATCCTGTTTTCTTCTTCTTCTTCTTCTTCCTAAAAAGAAGAAATATCAAGAATAGTTGAAATGTAAATGTCCAGAAGGAATAGTATTTGTTTCCCCACTTTTAGCTGTTTGTGTGTATGTGTTTTTTTAACCAAAACAGTATCATGTCCAATTCAGTTTAGTCTAAGATAAGATATACTTCCCTTTCCCATATTCCCAAATTGAAATGAAAATTATTGTATGACATTTTAAGAAAAGTGATATTATTTTTAAAAAACATAATACAGCAGTGCTTAGCTTAAATGAGACCTGAATTAACTTTGACAGGGGCTATATCTTTTCAGATTAATTCAAATCTAAATAAATTAGCTAATGCAGTATCACTTCAATTCTAGGGTGTCAGCCTATTCAGTGGAACAGGTAGTCTATTCACTAAATGATACAGCATGGTTAGTGTTCCCATAAGAACCTGGTATATATTGGGTTGTCAGAAAAGTCATGACGTATTTTTTTCTCTGTTTTTCATTGCAAAAATGCATCATGACTTTTCCTACAACCCAATAGATAAGGCAGTCTCTGCCCTCAAAAAGTTTACAATCTAGGAGGGAAGATATAAACATAGCATCAAGACAGAAAGGAATAAGCACTATAGAGATTTAGAAAGAGTAAATAACTTCGAGTTCCAGAACAAAAATTCACGGAGGAGGTGCCATTTGTGTTGGTCCCTACAGTAGGGGTAGACAGTACAGAGTGAGTATAACAGGAAGATTAATCTACAGCTTGCTTGACAGTGAATGAGAAAGACCATTTAGGAGGACTACTACAGTATCACGATAAGGTAATGAGGCTCTAAATAAGGCTGGTACTGCTAAAAACACTTGTTCATCAAACATTTCTGAAACCACATAAAGTCAGCTGACCTTTCCAGATTCATCTCCAGCCTCTCTCCTATTGTACTCTATGTTCGTAACAACACAACAGTATTCTTGCCATTTCCTTAAACTAACACAATGTATCTTCATGCCTCTACATTCTAGCTTTACCTGAACTGCCCTCCTCATTTGCTTGAAGGAGAATAAAAAAAGATTCTAGTATTTATTTCATGTTCAATATATACTAGGTGCTCTTCTCTTTTACATATTTACTCATTTAATCCTTACAGCAACCCTGAGCATGGATGCTGCAATTTTCCTCATTATAAAGATGAGGAAACTGAGGCTTACTGAGGTAAGTATCTTGCCCAAGGTTACCAAGTTACAAGTGGCAGAGCCAGAATTTAAATTCAGACCCTTTGGTTCCAGAACCCATGCTCTAAAATGCTAAAGCTTTCTCATTGTTTAAAGCTAAACTCATTTCACTCCCACCCTAAGACCTCACTAGAGACAGAATTGCACATCTTTTGTGCCTTAACAACTGGCACTTACACACTTAAAGTACTTGTCAAACTCAGTCCATGTGTCCTAAGTACAGAGACTGGGTCTTGTTTCCTCATTTTAAAATTGGAATAATAATCCAGAAAGAGGTGTATGAAGATTAATAAACTGACATATATAAAGCATCCCCCCCCCATAACACCTAGCACAATGAAATCTGAGTTTTACAGATAGATCCTAGGGAAATTTCAGTATTAAAAAATTCTAAAATATATGCTAATTTGATAAAGAAATTAATGACTCTAGAATGAAATGCCTAGCGTAAGGGAGCTAGCTATCTTTGGGGCACCTAGAAGATACATGTGTTCATTACACAGCCCATCAAGTCCACAGCAAACCAAACTGAATCAAGGAAATGTAAAAATACACACCTCCTTCTTCATCCGGTAATACTCATCAATGGCATACTGGTATTTTGGGGTGCTGATGCCCAAAACAGATGCAATCTTCTCTCCAAGAAAGTCACACACTAAAGATACAAAAGTTAAATGGCTTACACAATTCCATAAACATTTCTTGAGCACTTTATGTGCAAGGCACTGTAGAAATACAAAAGTTATAGTCCCTGCCCTCAGAGAGCTATGAACATCCAGTAAATCTCTTCTGTATATAATTCCTTGATTTCCCCAAGAAGCACTTTTGGCTCCTTATGGGCCCCCGATAACACCCCCAATAACACTTAACGACCAGGTATTAAAATTATTTGTTACATGTCTATTTCTTTAAAAAACAAATTGTATACTCTTAGAGGGCTGGGATACCACTGGGCTGGAGGAGAGGACTGGCTGGTACTATAACTTTCACTGAGTGCCTGCCTCATGCCAGGCACTGTGAAAGGTAGACTCAGAGAGGTGAAGAACTTGCCAAGCTGACAAAGCAGATCCAAAATTCAATCCAGGTCTGAATGCAAAGCTCATGTTTTTTCATTACACCAGACTGTCTAGCATATACTGAGTGCTTAGAAAATGTTTGTTCAATGAATTACTATTCAAAATTAGATCTTAAAAAAGCAGAAAGGTGACAGAAGCTATGAGGAAGTTAAAATTGGAAGCAGAGGAAAGTTTTATGATTTAAAACCTATATTTAATGTTAGAATAATTAAGTCATAAATTGGTAATTCATTTCCTTCATATGACTTACTTATATCTTAAGTTACAACTTAAGAAATGAAATATTAATGAAATAAAACAAATGAACTATAACTATAAGCTTTAGAAGAAGCAAACAGAATGAGAACAATATCAGCAGGGAGCCAAGTGACAAAATTACAAATTGTTGCTAACAGAAAATGTTCAAGAATATGAAAATTGTATTTAAATACATACAGCCATTTTCAATCTTTTATACACACACACACACACACACACACAATCAGAAGATGAAGAATATTTTAAGGTGAATTACAAGTTAGATTAATACCGTTCATGCTAGCTAGCGAGAGCGGCTAGCGAGAGTGATTAATTCCCTGTTATTTCTCCTTCATTTCTGAAACACCCCATTTGCCCATTTGGCAAAGCTCCTGGAGCATATTATAGTAGCTATGTGATATTCAAACAGAAAAGTAATACCTGAGAGGGTTGATGTGGCAGCACGAAGCATGTAAAACCATAAGTAGGGGCCCCAGGTAAGTTTTGTCTGCAACAAGAAGTCGGGTTAGCAACATTCATACCTAAACTCATTCTATATATTTAGGCCAGAATGAAGTAGTCAATACTACTTCATTCTGGGCACGTAGAATATTCTATAGACAGTACTACAAACAGACTACAGTCCAATAAAAAGTTTAAAAGCTTGAAGAATTCTACAGACATTTTACATTTCCCCCTTAATAACCACCTTAAGCCTGTGCAAAAGCCAAAAGCAGCAGCAACCACTGAAATGGAGTTGATCATAGTCTTAATTACTTAAGAGTTGAATATTCAGTCTTCCTTTCTCCTGTCATGCTGCTTTTTTGTCTTCATTGTTCATAAGCACATCAGATGAACTGTGCAGTCAATGGAAAGAGACCTTCAGAAATCACACAGAACAAAACACTTCTGGTATAGTGAGGAAATTAAGGTTCAGAGAAATTAAGCTGGATAAGGGCATATCAAATGAACTTTCATGGAGGGGGAAAAAAGGAACCAATAAGTGGCAACATGAGCTTTTTGTTTCTTTAAGGATTAAAAAGGGACTAGACCATATAATCCAAGACAAGCTCAATGTATATGTGGTATACCGGCCAGGACCTGGCAGAACACAATCTATGTTGCACACTTCCATAGTTAATCTTGGTTCCGTTAAATCCATACAATAGTTTTGTGAAGCTTGACACATGCTTCATTGTACCAGTATTTTTGTTTAAGAAGAAAACATAGTATTCATTAATACATTAATAATTGTTTTAATGTTGGTTCCAGGGAAGGGAGAAAAAGATAAATTTGTCCATAATCTTTGCTAAAATATGTTAATGATTATAAGAGCATTAAAAAGGCAAACACAAGAATATCTGTCAGAATGAAAACTGTAGACACGGGAAGCAACTCTTTCTTTCCTGTTGGTGAGATGAAAGTATCTTCCTTTTCTGATATCTAAAGCTGATCAGGTTGTCAATTTTAATGTTGTTTCCTTTTCTTCCTGGTTAACAGAGGGAAATATTTTTACCTGAGGGTTTTCAAAGTCATTTTGAGTGACCACTGTCTGTCTTATCCACTTCTTTTTTATTCAAGTTAATTTAAAAATTAAAGTTGCATGCATATATATATATATGATCTATATCTATATGATATAGATATACATCATATATCTATATCATATGATATATATCTATATCTATATCATATGATATATATATATATGAGACAGAGAATATATCTGTAAGAGTGGGCAAGATGGGCTATAGCACAGAGCCAGAAACATATAACATAGTCTTTCCAGAAAAAGTAGGCCAATTTCTGTGATAATATTCCTGAGAAGACACACAAATAAGGTAGCTCCTTATTCTCTATTTACACAAGAATGAATGTCTAAGCAAACAAATACATTCAACTAAGAAGATACTCTATATTTCTGACTCCCTGATCAAATCGGCTGTATCTTCTATGATTAGAGCAGGAGGGCTCTCTTATGTGGGGATAAGTGTTATTTTAGGGGCTCTGTTTAAGATACTTTGACCTTAGTGTTTACTTTATGGTCTTTACAGCAAATGGACAGTGCAGAGACACAGGGAATGGAACCAATTTCTGTAACACATGGTAAATGATAGGGCCAAGAAAGTATAAAAAGTATAGAACAGGACTAAATATAAAAAAAGGACTGAGCATGCTACTGGAGGAAAGCATGTATTTCTCAGTGGATCAATTTTCTTGGGGTTGTTTCTGGAGAGAATAATTGCTAGCATGCAGGCTGTGACTACCAAAGAGTCGAACTTGCTCCAGAGCTAAGGAATTGGATAAGGATTCCTGAGTAACATCTATCATGACCACACACAGTTATACGGAATGAATTTATAGACACTTTGTTTAGACACTGACCTTACTGAATCAACAAAACAGGTGGCTCAGAGCCTCCGCTAGAACACTCTCAGCACTGACAGCAGCACTACCAATATTACAGTAATAGGAGAACTGGGATGAGATCTTGGGTCTTCAAGACTTCCAATTTATGGTGCAAACTCAAGTTGATTCATTTTCTTCATCTCCAAAAATTTAAGTATCCATTTCTTCAAGAATAATGAAGTAGCGGGCCGGCTGAGTGGCTCAGTTGGTTAAGAGAGCAAGCTCTGAGCAACAGGGTCACCGGTTCAGTTTCCACATGGGCTAGTGAGCTGTGCCCTAGCTGAGCTGCAGCTGAGCTGGTGAGAGTGCATGCTCTTGGCAGCAGGGTTGCCGGCTAGACACCCATTTGGGATGGTGGGCTGTGCCTCCCCGCAACTAAGATTGACCACGGCACCTTGAGCTGAGCAGCTCTGAGCATCAGGGCCCTGGTTCAGATCCTACATGAGGGCCAGTGACACTGCCCTCTACAGCTAAGATGGTGAACAACAGCTCGACCTGGAGCTGGGCTGCCGTGAGTCGCCTGCAACGGCGTAGGCTGCAGCCCCTGCTGCCATAAGCTAACGGGTGTGGCCGGCAGCCAGCGTGAGCGGCTGGCAGCTGGTGTGAGCTGCCAAGAGCCGCCATGAGTGGCTGTCCAGAGGCCGGCGACCAATCTGCCTCACCCAGGAAGAGCACAATGATAATACCAACATGGGCCAGTGAAGCAACGTCCTCCACAACTAGGCTGAAGAACAAAAGGACAGAAACTTGTCTATTCCCCTTCCCCCGATTTTCCAGCACTGTTCCCTTCCCCCAACTCCCCAATAAAAAATCTTAAAAAAAAAAAAAAAAAGAATATAGTTGATTTAAACCTCACAAGTCCCCATCCATTCAATGTTTAGGGAGAAACATCAATCAAAACAAAATCCACTGACAAAAGGATGATCAGTATCAAACCCACCGGATCAACAGTCGGCAAAACATCTTTCTTCTCCAGGCCATCAACTTCATCTTCGTCTGTGCTGTATTCTTCCATTGTTTCACCACTAACAAAGTGGATGACTCTCCTTGGGGCTTTCTTCTTTTTTCCTATGACTCCCAGTTCTACAGTTTCAAAGCCTCTTTCATTACTCATCTAATGTCGATAATAAATAAGAAAATGAGAGTTTTAAGTGAGATCAATTTTCTTTAATATGACAAAAAAATATTCTGGGGTGCTTTATTTTAGGGAATAAAGAAACATAAGCCAATCCTTAAACAGTTTTTTAAAAAAGTAAAAACAATCATAACAGCATCAATAGCATCTAAGAAAAGTTTAATGAAAAATAAAGCAAATATCTGTATACTCACTACTGAGGTGAAAAAATAGAACTTAACCAATTAAAGTTTTGTTTAAGTCAACAGCTAAGAAATCATGCACCATACTTCAAGTCATAGCAATTCTTATGCTGTATATAATATGTGAAGACATGCTGGGCATCAATCATTTTAAAGACTAATACACAATTATGGCAGGATTAATGTGTAATATCAAAGGAAAATCATATAGACTCACATATACATGTTAGATATATAAAATAAAATAAGTTTATATCAGAGAACTCTCCTAAGTCTTTGGATTTGAGCTTAGCTATGAGCGAGCAAAACAAAAGCAGTTCAGCTTAACTCTGAGCCTCATCTTTTCTCAGAACAGGAGCCCCAAATTCAAATGCCTTTTAGGGCTAAACAGGTACCAAAAATGAGTAGAGCTAAAGGTGTAAGGATAGTCTCTTTGGAGAAAGCATGCCCCAACTAAACACACTGAATTCAAAATAATTTTAAAGCAATGCTCACACCAAAAAAAACTCATTTGTAAACCAGATTTGGAAAGCAGGCCATCAGTGTTCTCTCTCTGAACTTCCAGATTTCTCAGTCAATAATACTATATAGATGACAACAGAGTTTTCCTGATAGCAAAAACAGTTTATGAATTTTAAAACTATAATACGTAGTCTATGGAATTCTAAATAATACATTAAAATTGCACTACTAGGTAAATAATAATTTTGCTTCATATATATAGCCATGTGCCAAACTCATAGTATGCGCATACTGTGGGAGAGGATAAAGAGCTTTTCTTCCCTGTCATCTTGTCTCAAGTTTAAACTCCTAAGAAAGCCTTCATTGAACTTTACCTGAAGATTCTGAGAAGGCACATTACAAATAATTGTGAAAAAAAATCTGGCAACAGTGGTGACCCCTGGGATTAGGTATGAAAATAGGGACATAGGTACAGGTAAGGTAGTGGTCAAAGAGGCTTTCTATTCATTTTGGTATTTTGTTGTTGTTTATTTTGTTTTGTTTTTGTAATGAGGATATGTTCATGTATTACTGGTACAATTTTAAAACTAAACCAAAGCAAAATGATACAGGACTATAGGACTGTCATGATTAAAATCTATGTCAATGAGGGCCGGCCGAGTGGCGCGATGGTTAAGAACTGGCTTGGGAACGCCAGAGGCCCCGGTTCGGATCCCACATATGAGGGCCAGTGACACTGCCCTCTGCAGCTAAGATGCTGAACAACAGCTCAACCTGGAGCTGGGCTGCTGTGGAGTCACCGGCGATGGCGTAGGCTGCAGCCCCTGTGGCAGTGGGTTGCCATGGGCTGCCGTGTGTGGCCAGCAGCCAGCGTGAGCGGCCAGCAGCCGCAGTGAGCGGCCGTCCAGAAGCCGGCGACTGATGTGCCTCACCCAGGAAGAGCGCAATGATGGTGCCAACTTGGGCCAGTGAAGCAACCTCCTCCACAACTAGACTGAAGAACAACAACAAAAAAAACAACAGCAACTTGTCTGTTCCCCTTCCCCCAATTCCCCAGCGCTGTTCCCATCCCCCAAAATCCCCAATAAAAATCTTTAAAAAAAAAAATCTATGTCAATGAGATTCTCTAGGATAGTCCAAAGTTCAAAAAGTTTGTCCTGTATACAGACTCTTACACCTAAACAAAATGGACAACATATGGTACACCCAGGCCACCTTTCCTCTATCCCCAATCCCTAGGCACAGTGAGCCATTCCTACCCAATCTCGTTTTTCCCCTTGACATAAGATTTGGTTTATGATTGTCCTGACATCAATGTCTCCTTTTGGATCATGAGTTTCTGGATCCCCTTATAGACAAGGGCAAGTCAGAAGAGCTGGTTTAGATCTCCAGTTACCATACTAGCTGGATGGATCTGATACCAAAGCAGTCAACAGAGCTGAGATTTCACAGTACAACACTGTGCCCCATTCCACCTCTACCCCACTCCCATCAGATCGGAAGCAGCTTCTCACTGTGACCTCTAGCAGTCTCTCATTGGCTTAATTTTTCTTTTCTAAGACACAAACAAAGAAGAAGGGGTATCTCTCATTAGCTCAACTGCTTTACCTTCCTTAGACAACTTTTTTCTTTTTAATTTTATTGGGGAACAATTTTATTGGCCACACATTGCTTTCATGCTACAATGGTATAGTTGACTCCCTTAAGGATGGCACAGCTCACAGTGGCCCATGTGGGGACCAAACCAGCAACCTTGGTGTTATAAAAATCACAGTCTAACCAACTGAGCCAACCAGTGACCCCCTTAGACAACTTTAATAAATCAAAACATTCTGGCTTGGTCATGACAACTAGTATAAACTTAGCAGCTCTCTCCATTTACCCTGACTCTTGGCTATATTCTTTCTAAACGTTTTTTTTTTTTAATCTACCAAAGGGAAAGCTGAAACACGATTCATATTTTTCATTACAATACTAGTTAGGTGAGTGTAAACAGAACTTTGAGTAATATTCTCTATACGAAATAAGTAATAAAAATGGCATTTTATTTGTTCTAATCATCACATTTCATATAAAGATTTTTATTAAAAGACTTTAAGAGCTTTCTTTTTTAAATTTAATATTAATTTTTGATATAGTAAAACCCAAGTTTTATCATCTTAAGCAAGAGTGAGCAAATTTTTACTGTAAAAGCCAGAAAGCAAATATTTTAGGCTTTGCAGGTAAAGTCTCTGTCACAACTACTGAACTCTGCAAAAGCAACCATCAACAATACATAATGAATGGGCATGGCTTTGTTCCAATAAAACTTTATATAAACTGGTGGTTAGCAGATTCTGGCCCATACATTATAATTTGTCAACCCTCATCTGAAGGAACCAGATTGGCAAGTAAAAAATCTGTGAAAGACAATCTATGATATATGATTCCAACTCTACTTGGAGGGTGGCGTGGGGGGTTCAGTTAAGGGAGGTATTGATGAGTAAAACCAATTGGAAAGTAATTTGGTACAAAATTTCCAACTACAAATGAAAGTTATTCTCTGAATTTTGCAAACGTTTCATTTTACAGATCAACAGTAAACCTGCATAAAATTCTTACTGTCAATTATACAAATTTCATTTTAACAAACTCCAAAGATCTGAAAAGAGTTTGTTAAAAAAAAAAGTTTGTTAGAAACACCAGGAAATTACGAGATGCAATGTCAATTAACATTTTATTACATTTTATGGTTAACCAGTCTGTAATTCTGCTGATCTTGTTTCTCAGCACCTGTTTTTAATGGCAATTTTCTTTTTATATACTCCCAGAGCACCCAGAACTTCTTTAAAACATGTATTAGGCTTTGGATTTATTTTGTGTCACCTTCCCCAACTAGGTGGTTGGCAACATAGGAGTGAGTAGGCACAGCGTGTATCCTTCTTTGCTATGTCCTTTAACTTATACCTATAGCTCCTGGCACATCCTAAGTGCTTGGAAGCAGAGGTGATAAATAAATAAGTGAATGCATAGTAGTGAAATTTAAACTTCTTTAGTAATATTGAGGCTGAGCTTCTGGTTAAAAGTCTAGTCAGAGAAGCTGCTGGATGGCCTGGTTTGAGGCCTAATTCTAAACACCAACCCAAGCTCCTGTCTCTTACTCCATTCCCTACATGGCACTTGGGATTTCTCAGTTTTGACAAACCGATGAAAGGGTACAGGACAGCAGCTTCTCCTTCCATCCACGTCTCCACCTCACTGACCTCTTCCCTCCTACTGTGGTAAAATAAAAACACTACTCATACATCTGGGGGTTCCCAGAGTTGTTTCTGCTTCGGGAATGTGAAAGAGAACAAGAAGAGCAAGTTAGAAAAATAGTTTGTATAGTATGAACCCATTTGTGTTTAACAAGAGAGATTATATATGCACAGGAAATCCCCAAAAGACTATACCAAAAACTTCAGTTACTTTTGGGGAATGTGAATGTGAGGATCAGGTGATGGGGGAGGGGGGTGCCTACGACTTTTTACTTTTTTGCTCTAGAGCGTTCTTTACTGCTTAACATTTATTATTTCTTAACCAAGAATATGAAAATCACATAAAATCACAAAGCCATAGCAAACAGCCTCTCTTCAAATATTTACCTGGTAAATCAGTACAGGTATGTTTACTTTGCTATTAGATTCAAAGCTTAAGTAATGATGATAACAATTATAGTAACAAAAGGAAAAATCAAATGGAAAATAACTACATCAAGCACTGTGGACTTAAAGGTTCAGTTCAAGTCTACCTGTCTACAACAGGTCTCAACTGAAGCGAAAAGTGGCTTCCTAGTCAATTGGCATTGCCAGTAAATTCCCTCTTGCAGGTAACCGTCCTCTTAAGTAGGAAAAAAACCCAAGAAATTCCATATAAAGACTAGTACGTGGCAAAGTCTTTGTTAATGCAAACTACATCTTCTAAGAGCCACACTCATATTCTGGCACCATTCTCTGGGAACTGTAGTATGAGGGAAATGTCTCACTAACATTCAAGAAGTTAAGTCTCAAAAATGAAGCTACTGAAAAAGCATCAATCTCAATGAGGGCGGGAAGATTTCCACACAGGAGCAGCTTGAGGTTTTTACTGGCCAAAATGGTATACACTTGAGCTGGTTTCAGTTAAAGCAATTTCTTCATTAGTTTTACTTGGCCGAAGATCCTAAACAGCTATTTTACACTACCAAATCCAAAACAAAACAAACCTCAAACCTTACCTCTCTAAACTTACTTGTACAAAAACCACTAACCACTAGCCACATGCGGCTAATTCTCACTTGAAATGTCACTAGTTCAAACTGAGATGTGCCGTAGGTGTAAATGCATACAGGATTTCAAAGACTGGTACGAAAAAGAAAATGTAAAATATCTCATTGATAACGTTCATATTAATTACATGTTGAAATGTTCTTGACAAATTGGGTTAAATACAATATTAAAATTATTTCACTTCGTGTTACATGTTCATTTTTTGATAAATTGGGTTAAACAGAGGATAATATTAAAATTACTTTCTTTTTACTTTTTTAAGTGGCTGCTAGAAAATGTAGACTGCGCAATGGGGCTCGCATTATGTTTCTATTGGACAGCCCAGCTCTGCGCCTGGGTTACCTGCCGCAGAAGTTATAAGGATTACGTGAAAAAGCCTGCACACACTTAGCACTTGTTTGCTATTAGCGATGAAAAGGCCCGACGCCAGGTCAGGCGCTCGCACAGGACAGACTGAGAAGTGATTGAAGCCGGTGTCACTTGGCTTCCAGCCACGAAGGCCACCTTTTGGGGACACGCCTTCCTTCTCTCGTTCGCAGACCCAGGGCTAGAATATCATGTGGAAACCTGAGGCCGCCTCAGAGTCTGTGGCGCTGCCAGGAGAGGGGTTGGTGAGGGGTCCCTTTCTCCAAGCCGGTGTCTGAGCAGAGGCGGCGATACTGAGGAGGAACCCCGAAATGCACCTCCGGCGGGCGGCCTTCTCGGAGGAAGGCCGACAGGCCAAAAGGGCAGCTGGCTGACAAGGCAGAGGGAAGGCTGGGCTCTCCCTGCCTCAGCCGCGGCCTCACCTACCTGCCGCTCTGACTCCCTGAACGCCGCGGCGGCCGCAGCTCCCGAGGCTGAGACTGCTTCTCCTTCCGCACGGTTCACTGACTCCCGGTCCATCGTTGTCGCCGCCACAGGGCTGCCGGTGCTGGCGAGATAGACCGTAATGGCCGATAAGCCCACTTCCATCCTCCGCTTCCCCGCCCAGTTGTGGACAGAGCCGGCTGTCTGGAAGTGGGACTCACCCACAGCGCTCGCCTTGCGCCGCGCCCTGACACGCCACCGCAGGACGGGAGGGGCGGGGCGGGGCCTAGCCCGCGGGCCTCGGCCCCCGAGACTCGGCTGACCGCAGCCCAGGAGGCACAACTACCGGCTCTCGCGTGACGGGGCGGGGCCTTTTGCAGTATTGCTCCCCTCCCGGTCTGGAGCTCGCCGGGCGGCTGCCTGGCATTACCGGTGATGTCATGCCTCATACCTGTACCTGGAGCCTAGCTTTGGATGTCGGCGCAGCCACTCACCAGCTGCATCCTGGGCAAGCTCTCTCCCAGACCTTGGTTTTGACTGCACTTGTGAAATGAGAACAGCTGCATAGTAGTCTTCAAAGGCCTGTGCTGAGATGTGTTTACTGAAAATGTGTTTAAAAATGCCCGGCTCATGCTACATATTCCATTCCTAACCCGAATGACAGTCTAGCCAAATAACCTTGAAATAAGAGCTTCAAAGGTGAATTTTTGCTTACACTTGTCTAAAATAAATATAGCTAGAAAAAGTTGAGGAAGACCTGAAGGAGAGCAAAGGGCAACAGCAAGTTTCCATTTTAACAAATGTGAGGGATAATTTATTAGTTTTAGGGGCATACGCGCGCGCGTGTGTGTATGTGTGTGTGTGTGAGAGAGGGAGCATCCCAGACTTTTTCCATTTTTCCCAATGTTCAACCAAATTTAACAAGTTCATGATTGCCATAATTACTGCACTACTTAAACTAGTTAGGGCGTTTCCAAGTAAATTTTTTATTGTAATTTTAGTATGGAAGTTTTCACGAATTGTAAAGGTCAAAAATAAAATACTACATTTTCAGCCACAGCGGGCAGGGTGGGGTTCATTTGATACTCTAAATTCTATTTTCATGCCAGGCAAAATTCAGAAATGCTTCCCAAGTTACGTCCTAGTATATCTGTTATTCAGTATGGCACGAGCAGCCAGCATGGGGACACCCCTACAGCCTTCAATATTCCTTTCTCTCCTGCGCAAAAGTTCTTTTTCCTTACTCGTACACTTTCCATCCTGCTATAACTATGATATTCTAAAAAACAAACAACAAACCTTAAAAACAAAAGTTGATCATTTGAAAGCCATCTACAGTTTAAACATTGGTTGGAAATTCATAATCTACTGGTAACCAAATTAGCTTGTTGCTGAGGTAAACAAATTTTAGTAACATAATCTGATGCTGTCTAGTGGCATCAGCCAAGGGTTGAGTCAGTCCAAAATGGCAAAAACAAACTGCAATAAATTGAAAAGAAAAATAAAGAGCCAATTGTTAAAGACTTCATGAATTGACCTTCATAAACAAGATAGTTTACATTACATGTATTCAAAACCCCTTTCCTCTTACTGGCAAGAGGATTTTTATTATTAAAAATCTGTGGAATGTTTATAAATGCATTTTATTTTAAAAATTGGCTACTAAACATCAAGTTACAATTTTCACAGAAGCAGAACTAATTTTCATGCTTTATAAGTACATTTCTTTGTTTACTGAAAATTTAAAATGCAAGTCACATTCCAACATGAACTGGAAGTATTTTCGCAAGTTATTTTCAACACAAATATGCAATTGAAGAGCACTTTATTACAAACAAACAACTCACTGCAAAAGAAAAGCATAGTAATTCTAATGATTTTAGTTTGGGCATTTACATTTTTGTCATTATTTCCAGATTGTCATAGGTCAATTAAAAGTGGGCAATAGGGCCGGCTGAGTGGCTCAGTTGGTTAAGAGCTCGCTCAAGAGTTTGAGCTCTGAGCAACAGCAGTTTGAGTCCAGCCCGAGCTGAGCAGCCGCTGAGCTGCCTACAGGTAGCAGGATGGCTCAGCTAAAAAAAAAAAAAATAAATAAAAAAAAAATAAAAAAATAAAAGTGGGCAATAAAGCAACATATAAAACTTTCCTTCTTTCACTTTGTAGTATAAGTTGTATCACTATGACAAAAAATAAATTCAGGTATCTACTTGAAAACATAAATGTGGTCTAAATTTATCATTTAGTGATACATATAGAGCTAAAAAAGGTAAAAATTAGGATCTATTTCTGTGAAAGCCTGGGAAAACAAAGCTATAATAAAATTCAATAACCAGAAATGTCCATCAAATAAAAAATAAGACTTTCTTGTGGTTTTGACATAGCTACATATATATTTTAGTGAACATTTTTAAGGTTGTCCCACTCCTCAAATAGGGGGATATATTTTCATCATCATTGATGCACAAGAATAAGATGGTAAAATTTAAAATCCACACTAGGTTGATTTTAAACATAAAGATCAAGAAATTGTTAAATAACAGTAGTGGCTTCACTTATGAAGCCCAATATGCCAGGTACTGTGCTAAGGGCTTTGCTTGTATTAACTCTTCCTCACAACTCTGAGATAGGATTACAATTACCAACATTTTCAGATAAGCAAAAAAAGGTTTAGAGGGGTTAGGTAACTTGCTCAAGGACACACCTGATAAGCAGAGCAAGGATTCAAACTCAGGCAGTCTGATTCTAGAGCCTATATTCTTAGCCACTCTGAAAATGTCAGAAAATAGGGTATTATGAGCACAGGAAATTCTTAGACCAAAGGTGAGTGTGATATTTGGAAACATCTGGATGGAAATTAGTAAAGTGTGTATATTTTTTTGAAGTCTTATTACAAGAGATAGCCATTTGTAAACTGTAAGGCCCTAGATGTAAGAAATAAATGAAAATGCCAAGTGAACTTGTTTTATTTGATGCTGTGAACACATTTGTTTTAAATGAAATTTGGTCAGATTATTTTGTGTCATGAGACTATACTATTGATATTCAACTACCAGAATTTTTCATATGGCATTAGTCATAAAATATTAGTTTCTTTGTACACATTGCCTAAACACAATATTCTCAGTGTTGGGGACCTGTGCATTTTAATCTAAAGTCTGTAAAACCCTAGAGGGTCTTCCGATAATCTAAAAAACAAGTATAACAACATAATGAGGATTTCCACAAGTAAGGATGCCTTTCATCTCAGGGCAAGATCATCCACGTATCTTTTAACACAAGAAGGAAATTGCAGAAAATCAAGGTATACACATCAACTGAAGGTTTTCACACTCCCTCTATTTCCTATCAAATGGAGTGTTAGTAAACAGATATTTCTTGCACCACTTCCGCCAGAAATGAAATTCTGAACTCCTTAATTGATTTCCCAAAGTCAGAAAGTATGGGCCTATGAATATATCCAATAACAACTCTTGTATTTTTTGAGCCAATGAGAAGCGCATTTCCCTTCTATTATAAAATCATAAAAACCAAGTAAGCATGACTCCTAATATGTAGACATTACATGTTCTCCTCCTGTGATGAAGAGATGGGACCTTTTTCTGCAAAAAGGCTCACAAAACTTTGGCATATCTTGCTTAAGAAAAATAGACCATAGTCACAGGATATTAGTCCCTTCTGCTTCCCATAAGAAGAAAAAGCCTTTATGCAGCAGGGTCAGAGAAACCTCAGGTAGAAAGTAGTTTTCTTAGTGTCAGGCTCATCTGAATTATCCCTCTTACAAGCAGGTACTGTTGTGTAATTGCTTGACTGTTTTTTCACTTATGATCCAACCGCTACTGAGAAATCCATTGTTTTAGGGCTAAGGAGAGAACACTTTACAAAAGATATAATATGCTCTTCAAATGATGATTTCAAATGAAAAGTAATGAGAGAATTGCAAACAGCACAGGCACGCCAAACTCAAAAGAATTTGTGTGGCATTACATTAATCCTGTCAAAAGAAATGTGCCATAATTACCAGTTTATAAGGTCTATTTTCACTTTAAAAGTGTCCAAAAATGACCTTGTACTCAATATGCCTGGATTACAAATAAGAGGTCAGTGGAGAGGGAGAGGGCCTAGAGTCGTGGGTTAGCAATTACTCAACACTGAGCACAAATAACTACTTACCCCTAATGACAAAGTGGGGAAAAAACTTCATAGCAAAATTTCACATCATATCAATAACTACTTCGCAAAAGTAATAAGCCACAGACTATACAACCTATCTAGGAGTAAAACTTAAATTAATTCTCCAACACTTCATATAAATTCATCATTCCTGTAACTTATGGCTCAAAAGCACAGAAGGTATTAGGTTCAACCTTAATGTATTGGCTTAATGTTCCAAACATGAAAATTAGAATTTAGAGCAGAATTTTTAAGATGACTGAGTTTCTAATCCAGTAAATGCCAGTAATGAACAGAATCATCTAAATCTGAGCTGTGATGATGGCTTTCTCATTTTGGATATAACTCATTTGACTTTATTAATAATTATTGCTCGATTTTGAGGAAGACCAAACCTATTTACATTTATTTAGCCATGGTTCTCACTGACATAGCTTTCATTAGAGCTTATTCAAATCCCTTGGTTGCTCTCTGTATTCAAATATAAAATACTTGCTTTACTGCACACACAAGCATCAAATTGAAATTCCTTCACATTTATTTTAAATGCTTTGTTCCATTTTTTACTGAAATACTTGTTTATACATACTAGAGCTACCTGTAAAAGAAATTCATTCAATTTTATTTTACATTATTGTTTACTTTGTAGACCATTCAGTTTACAAAGTAAACCATAATATACTTTTGGTTTACTTTGTAGACTGAATGGTCTTGGTTTACTTTGTAGACTGAATGGTCTACAAAGTAAACCAACATTCACTGACGAGGTATTAATATTATTATGTTAATTTTACCTACATTAATATGCTTGATGAGACTTTAGTTCTATTAAATTTCCTGGTTTTGTTGCCTTCTGTTGTTAATTATACTACATTTCCTTTTAGCTATGTGACACTATACTTCTATTCAAGGTTAATACAATATCACTGCATATCAGAACTTAGGACTTCCCACATTATAATATACTGTATTTATTTGAATAAAATAATGGTATATATAATATACTTTAAAATCACTTTTACTACATGATGAAAAGTACTTAATTTTTTCCAAAAAAATTCCTCCATAAAATTGCAATGCATTGTGCACACATACATACAC